ACTAAACTGGTAGTCTCTTTACAACATAAAATAACACAAAATAGTGAACTTTGACAGTACATAATGCCAGTTACATAAATACACTCAGGTCTGTTACTGCTACTCCAACACAACACTCGGCAGCTCACACACTCCATCCTCAGTCCGCACGCAGTGTTGAAGCAGATTCTGCTCAGTCCTGCTCTGGAACCCCACAACCGGCATCTCCTCGTCCTCTTTTCTCCCCAACCACACTAATAATTGGTGACTCCATAACGACCGGCCTACATGAAGCTTTAAATAGAACTCACAATTAGAAGAGCTGAAGATGTCGCTTGTGAGCTGATCGAAACTTCCTGAGAATGTTGAACTAGTCTGGCTTTTCTTGCTCCTTCTGTAAAAAAAAATAAATTATCTGTATGTAAATGGGAATCCACAGCTGTTGCAGTGTACAGGATGTACAATGAGCTGCCAAGCCAGGCTTGTAACAAATATGTTGAGGTGGAGCTGTTAAAGTTGCAGTAGGGATTTAAAAAAACATAAGTTTGTCAAGTTTGCTAAAGCTGTCACTATATTCTGACTGCAGTACATGAAACAGATAATCTATTAAATGAATCATCCTCTGGCTCCTCCAGTTGCTTCTGATGCAGTTTGCAAGATTCCATCGTTCCCTGATCAAAACCACCAATCAGATCCTGGAGCAGTCTCTCAATCCCTACTTGTGCACATGCTGCACAGCCCCCCTCCTCGCGCATGCTCTCACTTAGTCAAGCTCAGTATCTTCAGCATGGCTTCAGAAGTTCTGCAAACAAGCAAAAAAGTTCTGCTCATCCTGCTGTTAGGTGTTGTCGCAACTGCTTCTGAAGCCTTGAGCGCTCTGCCCTGGGCTGTGAAGTGTTGGAGAGGTGTCTAAGGGTCTTGGCGAAGGTCTCGCTATGGAGAGCAAGCCCTGTGTGGGATGAAGGAGGGGCTTAGGAAAGTGATACGAGAAGCAAGAAGAAATAAGGACCGTTTTTCATCATATGTTCAGACTGCTGAACAGTTTCATCAGTGCTGGGGGTTGTTTCTCAGCCATTGTGTTTGCAAAACCTCTGATGCCACTGTGCAGCGTGTGCACGAACACTGATTGACAATGCATTAGAGAGTGCTCCTGGCTCTGATTCTGATTACCTGTTTTGACAAGGGAGTGGTAGAGTTTTGCAAATGGTATTGAATGGTAAGGAGCAGCAGGATGAGCCAGAGGAACCTGATTTTCTTCCCAGATTATCTGTCAAAAATATGACGACTGTGTACTGTGTGTTATGTCTGTTAGTCATGAGTAGAGAACTGTTGTGATTAGATGAGACTTTGTAAATTAATCTATGTAGTGGACACATTGAATTTTAATTAGCGTAGCGTTGTAATTCTTATTGTTGTTGACAACATTCTTTTGTTGGCTTTAGACTTTTTCTTTGTTGTAGCTTCCTTGTGTCAGCCACTAGCAGTGTGTAGGAGTGAGAAAACCTTTTTGTTTGCACCCTTTTTTTCCTGTTTTTGAGATTAGAAACCTAGTTTAGAGCTTTGTCTTTTCTTTACCTTTTGTTTTTGGTTTAGGAGTGTTTTGGTTGTTGTTTTGCACTAGGGTTAGGGTTAGATGAAGCTTTATGAAGCATTGAAGCTTTCCATCCAATTGGTTCAGTCATTGGCTGAAGCTTCACGGTGCTTCATTTGCTCTACTGTGCCATCAAGTGGACAATAAATGTAAAACAGAGTGATTCTAATGGGAACACGGCTTTGGTGTGTGAAGCTTTGAATTGAATGAATTAATGAATGATGTTTGTGATGCCAATACAGGACTTATTAGCTTTTTAATAAGGTGTCTGTCTTTATGATACAATGACAGAGTCAGAAGGAAAGTGGAAACAAGAGAGTGGGCTATGATAACTTGGTTTGTGACTTTAGATAATAAACAAATAACATTTTATTCATCTTTATTTAAAAATAACACTTCCAAAATGCTTCAGGCGGTTTCTTTTTTAGAGATGATTTTACCTGATTTAGAAAATTATTAAAAGTGATCAATAAAATTTCAAAGTCAATTCTAAAACATACTGGGAGCCAGTGTAGTGAAGCTAAAACAGGGGTAAATGTAAATGCTCCGTATTTGTATAGCGCCTTTCTAGTCTTTTCGACCACTCAAAGCGCTTTTACACTACATCTGCATTCACCATTCACACACATTCATACACTGGCAAAACAGCCGCCAGGGGCAATTCGGGGTTCAGTATCTTGCCCAAGGACACTTCGACATGCAGCCTGGGGGAGCTGAGGATTGAAACACCAACCTTCCGATTAACGGCCAACCCGCTCTACCTCCTGATCCACAGTCTTAAACAGACATTGTGTTTATGTGTAGTAATGAGTTCAGTAAAATAATGTGTCTTCACATCCTTAACCATGTTATTGTAGTTAATTAATAAATCCTTCAGACTGAGGTAATGGACTTGGAGACTGGATTTTTTCCATCTGCGCTCTGCTTTCCTGCATTCCCTTTTTAGGCTGCGAATGCTGTCATTTATCCAGGGTTGTTTACTAGCTTTAGACGTAGGCCTAACCTTTAGAGGAGCAGTAATATTTAGTGACGACAAGCAGATATGATTGAAGTGATCGACCAGATTGTTGGTGTTGGAATCAGACAGGTGTTGGCTTTGGCTCTGAAAGAATGCGCAAAACTTTGAAACACTTTGTTGCTTGGTGAGGCGGCATGAGTAACAGGCGAATCGCAGCTAAAAACAATCCAAAGAGGAAATGCTGACACCCAGGGTAAAAACCAAGTCCAGTGTATGACCACGGTTATGTGTTTGCCCTTTGACATGTTGTTTGAAGTTAAAAGAAGTGGCCATATTTAAAAAGTCAGTTGCATTAACATTGGTGGGGTCATCAACATGAATATTAAAATTGCCACAAAGAACAATTCTGTCATAATTTAAAACCATTGCAGGAAGTCCTCATGGGGCAGAGTTATCTCGGCTAGCATAGTCACCGGAGCTTTGTTGTGGTCAGTAGCGTTGATAGCGTTTTTACGGTCATCTTAAAATCCATGTCGGATGATCCTTAACCCACATAAAACTTAAGTTAAATAAAAAGGATATAAAAAAAGTAACGTAAAATGCCAGCCAAACAATTAATCTACCCATCTCCCTCTCTCTTTCTCTTTTTACCTTTCCATATGACCCTTGCTTACATAACATGACCACACACACTCACCATGTTGTGAAGTTACATCAGCTGCAGCCTAAAGGCAGATTTTGTCCTCATATGTGACTAAATTGGACCTATTTAGATTCTATGTGCTACTTCTCTGGTGTATTCGTGAAATTCGAAAAATGCAGATAAAACAATTTTTCTACTAGTAATTCCTGTTTTGGATTGCCTATTTTTATTTTTAAAAATCACATGTTGTATCCTACATTAGCACTAAAGTTTAGATTTTATATTTGTCTATGTTCACCAGCTAGTTATTAAAGCATATATAGGTTCTCATTTTTAAAGTCTATCAGAACAATATAACATATAGGCTACAAATTTTTTTTTTTATTTGTCATTGTAATTGATCTCTTTCCATCTGACAAAGACAATGACTAACAACAGCATAAAAACACATGTGATCACATCCCGGCTCCACACGGAGGTTTGCGCTCATTATGTTCGATTCCATGGCGTTCATATCGTTGTTATACGTTGTGGCAGATGCCTCTCCGAAGTCTGGGAAGCTCCGACCTGGGCAGCGAAGCTTTCGATGGGCAAATGAGAACAGTCGCGGCAAGAGGAGCGGGGTCTTGGTGAGGCTCTCTCTGGGAAGAACGAGCCCGGTGAGTTTTAGCCATGGATTTGGCAGCGCAACCGGATCTTTCTTGTGGGTTTGGATTGACGTGCTGAGGTTCAGTGGAGTGATACGAGCAGCAGAGAGGGACGCGGAAGGTTTTGCATTGTAGTCTATGTTCAGTTGTTACCAACTGCTGCTGTAAGGCCTGCAGTGTGCATGTAGCGCTAGTCTCTCCCTCTCTCTCTCTTTGCACTTCTATCTCTGGAGAAGTTGCTCAAGCCGCCGGATAAGGGCACTTCCTCATATTTGACGTGTCAAAATGGGATCTTTTTCGTTTCTATGTGCTATTTTTCTGGTGAATTCGTGTCAAATGCAAGGTAAAACGCATGTTTTCTAATAATATTTCCTGTTTTGGATTGCCTCCTTTTATTTAAACAAAACTGCGTGTTGTAGGCCTAACTGACACATCATGGTGAAAGACAGCTAATCTAAAATAAGTCTGACATTGAGTTAAGTGAATTGATAGGCTTGCATACAAAATAAAACAAGAATATTGATGTTGTTGTAGACTGTGTTTAACAGGGGCGTGTTTTCTGTTTGTCCTGCTTTATTCATAACAAATATTAGGCAAGAAGCCTTAATCATTTAAAAAATGTGTTCTTCTTGGATGCTTCTTGTTTTTAAAGTTCTTTGTTTGTAGGCTACTGTGTTGTTAAGTTTATTTTATTTCTGGCTTTGATGTTTTCATTGGATTTTCTGACAGTAAAACAAATATAGAATATAACAGCCAGCCACAATGATGGGGGTCCAGGCTGATTACGAAAAATCTCTAAAATTGACATGTTTAAGACGAGAATATCCAATGCAGATGGCTGAAAGATTAAAATGATGGAAGATAATTGGATTTTTCACCATGAGATCAATGAGTGCCATTATATGTGCCTGAATAGAGGGTGGAATTTCCAACCCACCAGCCAATTTTGGTGACTTTTGGTTGGTTTTTGTTGCTCAAATTATTTTATTAAAGAAGAAGAAGAAACCTGAGGGCAAATCCAATTAAAAACATTTTCTAACCCTTAATAAAACATAAGTAGAAGATACTTCATCATTTTGATCTGATGGTCGACGTGTCAAAAATCTAGGCATGGAGTTACATTCAGTATTGGCTAAAAAACATTTATATTGAGTGATTTTATTGTGTCTACTGTTTTTACAGGCTCCAGTGCTGTGACTCCTGTGTTTGTGCAGAAAGGAAAGGATGTTCTTCTGAACGTCATGACAGCTGATGTTCCTGAGAACTTTTTTATTCTTTCATGGAGATTCAATCAAAAGGATGTTTTAGTTACATTTTTTCCTGATAAAGAACCAAAAGTCTCTAATAATTACACTGGAAGGATTGAGACTGATGTGAAAAAATACTCACTGAAATTAAACAATCTACAAGAGGCAGACAATGGAGTTTATACTGCACGAGTGACAGGGTCTGAAGAAGAACGAATACTAGCTGAATACAACGTCACAGTTCAAGGTAGGTTTGTTAATATTTCAGACACTGACAGAGAGAATCTGCTGCCATGTTTCTAAAACATTTCACCCAAACGTTCCTCCTCAGGTCCAGTGTCTCCAGTTGAACTGTCAGTGGACTCTGCGTCCAGCAGCTCAGACTCCTGTAACCTCACTGTGACCTGCAGAACACAGGACTCTAACATCAGCAGCACTTTCACATGTGACAACCAAACCTGCAGTCAGGAGGGAGGAGAGCGATCAGAGGTCACAACCTCTGCTGCTTCTCTACATGTCTACCTGCTGAATGACTCAATCATCTGTAACCATAGCAACCAGGTCAGCTGGACCGAGGACATTAGAAAGGCTAAACATTTCTGCCCCCAACATGCTGGTAAGACTGACAGCCAAAATGACTTGCTGACAATAATGCATAGTTTGGATTGCAACTCTGTTAAAGAAATTATTAGATAAATAACTAAGTGACAACACAATAAATAATTTGAGTTTGTTACAAATGTGGTCGAAAAACAATTTTCATTGTGTTTCAGGGGTGGAGAGGCTTTAGGATTTTAGTATTTCTCAAGAAGAGTTGCTCTGCTCACAGAACTGATCTTATTAACTGAGTTCAACCATAGTGGGTTTGGTATTTTTAAACAATTATTTGCTATCAATTAACATATTCAGTTCTCATCTTAAGATGACCTCTTTTACAGTAAGCGTCTGTGTACAGTGTTTTCTCTGACAAAAATCAGCAACTTGTGTGTGGAAAGGAGTGATATAATATAATTCTGAGTAGATATTTTAATTATTAAAATTTCAGTAAAAAGGAAAAATGATGGGCCTTATCTATCAGCTAGAATGACTTGTTGTTAGCATAGGTTGTAAAGCTAGACTACAAAATGATCAATGGAAGTTTTCGTTCTGCCCTGATATTTTAACTGGCAGAACTAGTTATCATTATTAACCTCCATCAGGATGGCCTTATAGTTTTTTCTGAATGCTTAAACACTAACAGTCATTCTTGAAGTGCTTGTAGCCAAATCATTTACTAAGTGTGCCAAACTGAATGCACATTCTCTGCTTTACACTCAGTTTGTAATTTTATAACACACTTCTTTCAAAACTGTAAAAATTACTATTATTTGCTACACTATTTTGGCATTCCACATTGACACATGTGGAAACACTTTGTGATTTTTAGTTCACACACCAATCAGAGATGGAGCTCTATGTGTGAATGGACAACAGGTAAACATTTGGTTTGGCCAACAATGGAGGGTTTAGAGGGGTGAGAATTAGAGGAGGACATGGATGAGGAGGTAAAGAGAGAAGAGGAGGAGAGGGGAGGATCAAGGAGAGGACCAGGAGGAGGAAGAGGGAGGGGAGTCAAGAATATAACTGTTCATATCAGAGTGACTGTGGCTGACCATGTTGTCAACCATGGGATGAGCTTGAGGTAAGCTGGGCAGTAGATTCCACCAAATCTGAGTCGCTATATACTGTTGTAGGTATCATCTGATTATTTTGAAATGAGAAGTGGTAAGTAAGCGAAAGTGCTGTACAGCACTGGTGCTGGTTCAGTAATATGTACTGTAATGACCACTGTAAAACCAATCAAATGTTGTTTCACAGAATTGCAGGAAAACCCCAGTAAGCACACAAAACAGCAACTTCTAACTGATAGTAAAAATGAAAAACACTTGTGGCGTTTGCTTTTTCTGTGTGTAGGGCGTAACAGTTATTATAGTGTTTTGTCATGCATGTAGTACAGTAAAACTCACATACACACAGGTGCCCAAATGCATTAGCAACACATGGTTATGGTTTCAGAAATAGTGCTTCAAGAGTGACTTTTATAGTTTAAGCATTCAGAAAAAAACTGTAAAAGCACAAGCTGACAAGCCCCTCCCCCCACCTTTCAAAGAGCATAGGATGGCTACCGTGGCTGTCACAGGACAAAAGGTGTCGAAATTAGGTTTCTTTAGGTATAGGTATATTAAGAAATTAAATTTACTTAATTATTCAGTGAAACCAAATGTTATTGTGACTTGGCCACTGAGAGATAACATGGAAAATGTAAAGAGTGTGAAACATTGTCACTGTTTCTGCACCACAGTTCATTATAAACCACATAAGAGATTCTGGCCCGCTGCCAAATGATGGTACTTCGATAGCGGCAATAAATAAATAAATACTTTGATAACATGCTGAAATAGATCTGTCATGGCAGCAACAGTTACTCACATAATCACTTCCTCTTTAGTGGTTTTGCCTGCAAAATAAAAGCATGGGACTGTTTTTTGCAGCAATGCTTTATTTTAGTTGAATTGAGAGCTTTTACTTTGAAAAATTCTGAACAACATTAAATGAGTCTGTAGCCTGCTTGACACCCCTCTGAAAGAGCCCTGTCCTCTGCCTGGAGATACTGGGGAAATGAAAAAACGTCTGTAGGTTGATGGATGCGGTTCAAACACCAAAACACACGCATATGCAGCACATGCTTTATTGTGAGCATGTGAAACAGTCGCTGCATAATCAATTTGTTGAAGTAAGATAATTCTACCCAACGTGGGATCAAACACACAACCTTCTTAGTGAGAGTCCTGCATTTTACCAACTGAGCTAACTGAACACAATTACAAGTCAGCCACATATTATGGATTATATTCTCATCCACCATCTAATGGAGGAAAAAATTGCTCCGATGCAACACCGACACCTGCTCTATATTATTACTTCTTATACGTCTTCCTCGAATGTACATATTCAAGGCAGTGATGAGCGTCTACACTGCCAGAATTCTACAAGAAGAAGAGGAACGTAGTGACGAAACATGCTCGGTAGCGCTGTTTGTCCGTTTTCAGCTAGTGTATAAACGAAGCGGCGCAACATGCCGATGTCCATGGAAGGGGGGACCCGCGGTTATGTAGATAGAAATGGCTCATTCTCAGGTAATAACATAACGGTTCATTCAGTTCGTTCACTGAAAACATAACAATAACAATTATAGATCTTACATTGTATTTCTGTCACTAGATCCTAAGAAATATTACACACTGAACCTTTACACCAGGACTCATCTGGCTTTTGTTTTTCTTTACAGATCCAGATAAACAAGACAAAAATGTTATTGTCCCAGTACTTGTTGCTTTCACCATAGTTCTCATAGCAGTTGTTGCAGCAGTTTGTTATCATCGAAAGAGACTAAAACACACATTACATTTTATTATACAGTGAATATTGAGAATATGAGCAAAAGACTCTCAGGTGAAATCTGCACAGTGTCTGCACTTGTGTTAAATGTTTTTGCCGTGTAGGTGATACTTGTGTTAACAGTAAGTACAGTAAAACTGTAGTTTTCCGTGTATTTTACTAAATGCAGTGTGCTGTATGTGCTGTCAGAGGTGTAGATGTTTTCTTTATGTGCATGTGTTTAAGCTGCAGTGTGTTGTGCTCTTGTGACCAAGAAATTAGTTTGAAGCATTGACCTAAAGCGTTCTTTTAGACGTCCAATAACTGACTCTGCTCTACTCTGCAAAAAATCTCTAAAATTGACATGTTTAAGACGAGAATATCCAATGCAGATGGCTGAAAGATTAAAATGATGGAAGATAATTGGGAAAACGCAAACTTGATTTTTCACCATGAGATCAATGAGTGCCATTATATGTGCCTGAATAGAGGGTGGAATTTCCAACCCACCAGCCAATTTTGGTGACTTTTGGTTGGTTTTTGTTGCTCAAATTATTTTAGTAAAGAAGAAGAAGAAACCTGAGGGCAAATCCAATTAAAAACATTTTCTAACCCTTAATAAAACATAAGTAGAAGATACTTCATCATTTTGATCTGATGGTCGACGTGTCAAAAATCTAGGCATGGAGTTACATTCAGTATTGGCTAAAAAACATTTATTGTGAGTGATTTTATTGTATTAGGCCTATGTGTTTTTACAGGCTCCAGTGCTGTGACTCCTGTATTTGTGCAGAAAGGAAAGGATGTTCTTCTGAATGTCGTGACAGCTGATGTTCCTCAGAACTTTTTTATTCTTTCATGGAGATTCAATACAAAGGTTTTAGTTGCATATTTTCCTGATAAAGAACCAACTGTCTACACTGGAAGGATTGAGACTGATGTGAAAAAATACTCTGTGAAAGTGAAGAATCTCCAAGAGGCAGACAGTGGAGTTTATACTGCACGAGTGACAGGGTCTGAAGAAGAACGAATACTAGCTGAATACAACGTCACAGTTCAAGGTAGGTTTGTTAACATTTCAGACACTGACAGAGAGAATCTGCTGCCATGTTTCTAAAACATTTCACCCAAACGTTCCTCCTCAGGTCCAGTGTCTCCAGTTGAACTGTCAGTGGACTCTGTGTCCAGCAGCTCAGACTCCTGTAACCTCACTGTGACCTGCAGAACACAGGACTCTCACATCAGCAGCACTTTCACATGTGACACCCAAACCTGCAGTCAGGAGGGAGGAGAGCGGTCAGAGGTCACAACCTCTGGTGCTTCTCTACATGTCTACCTGCTGAATGACTCAATCATCTGTAACCATAGCAACCAGGTCAGCTGGACCAAGGACATTAAAAAGGCAGAACATTTCTGCCTCCAACATGCTGGTAAGACTGACAGCCAAAATGACTTGCTGACAATAATGCATAGTTTGGATTGCAACTCTGTTAAAGAAATTATTAGATAAATAACTAAGTGACAACACGATAAATAATTTGAGTTTGTTACAAATATGGTCGAAAAACAATTTTCATTGTGTTTCAGGGGTGGAGAGGATTTATGATTTTAGCATTTCTCAAGAAGAGTTGCTCTGCTCACAGAACTGATCTTATTAACTGAGTTCAACCATAGTGGGTTTGGTATTTTTAAACAATTATTTGCTATCAATTAACATATTCAGTTCTCATCTTAAGATGACCTCTTTTACAGTAAGCGTCTGTGTACAGTGTTTTCTCTGACAAAAATCAGCAACTTGTGTGTGGAAAGGAGTGATATAATATAATTCTGAGTAGATATTTTAATTATTAAAATTTCAGTAAAAAGGAAAAATGATGGGCCTTATCTATCAGCTAGAATGACTTGTTGTTAGCATAGGTTGTAAAGCTAGACTACAAAATGATCAATGGAAGTTTTCGTTCTGCCCTGATATTTTAACTGGCAGAACTAGTTATCATTATTAACCTCCATCAGGATGGCCTTATAGTTTTTTCTGAATGCTTAAACACTAACAGTCATTCTTGAAGTGCTTGTAGCCAAATCATTTACTAAGTGTGCCAAACTGAATGCACATTCTCTGCTTTACACTCAGTTTGTAATTTTATAACACACTTCTTTCAAAACTGTAAAAATTACTATTATTTGCTACACTATTTTGGCATTCCACTTTGACACATGTGGAAACACTTTGTGATTTTTAGTTCACACACCAATCAGAGATGGAGTACTATGTGTGAATGGGCAACAGGTAAACATTTGGTTTGGCCAACAATGGAGGGTTTAGAGGGGTGAGAATTAGAGGAGGACATGGATGAGGAGGTGAAGAGAGAAGAGGAGGAGAGGGGAGGATCAAGGAGAGGACCAGGAGGAGGAAGAGGGAGGGGAGTCAAGAATATAACTGTTCATATCAGAGTGACTGTGGCTGACCATGTTGTCAACCATGGGATGAGCTTGAGGTAAGCTGGGCAGTAGATTCCACCAAATCTGAGTCGCTATATACTGTTGTAGGTATCATCTGATTATTTTGAAATGAGAAGTGGTAAGTAAGCGAAAGTGCTGTACAGCACTGGTGCTGGTTCAGTAATATGTACTGTAATGACCACTGTAAAACCAATCAAATGTTGTTTCACAGAATTGCAGGAAAACCCCAGTAAGCACACAAAACAGCAACTTCTAACTGATAGTAAAAATGAAAAACACTTGTGGCGTTTGCTTTTTCTGTGTGTAGGGCGTAACAGTTATTATAGTGTTTTGTCATGCATGTAGTACAGTAAAACTCACATACACACAGGTGCCCAAATGCATTAGCAACACATGGTTATGGTTTCAGAAATAGTGCTTCAAGAGTGACTTTTATAGTTTAAGCATTCAGAAAAAAACTGTAAAAGCACAAGCTGACAAGCCCCTCCCCCCACCTTTCAAAGAGCATAGGATGGCTACCGTGGCTGTCACAGGACAAAAGGTGTCGAAATTAGGTTTCTTTAGGTATAGGTATATTAAGAAATTAAATTTACTTAATTATTCAGTGAAACCAAATGTTATTGTGACTTGGCCACTGAGAGATAACATGGAAAATGTAAAGAGTGTGAAACATTGTCACTGTTTCTGCACCACAGTTCATTATAAACCACATAAGAGATTCTGGCCCGCTGCCAAATGATGGTACTTCGATAGCGGCAATAAATAAATAAATACTTTGATAACATGCTGAAATAGATCTGTCATGGCAGCAACAGTTACTCACATAATCACTTCCTCTTTAGTGGTTTTGCCTGCAAAATAAAAGCATGGGACTGTTTTTTGCAGCAATGCTTTATTTTAGTTGAATTGAGAGCTTTTACTTTGAAAAATTCTGAACAACATTAAATGAGTCTGTAGCCTGCTTGACACCCCTCTGAAAGAGCCCTGTCCTCTGCCTGGAGATACTGGGGAAATGAAAAAACGTCTGTAGGTTGATGGATGCGGTTCAAACACCAAAACACACGCATATGCAGCACATGCTTTATTGTGAGCATGTGAAACAGTCGCTGCATAATCAATTTGTTGAAGTAAGATAATTCTACCCAACGTGGGATCAAACACACAACCTTCTTAGTGAGAGTCCTGCATTTTACCAACTGAGCTAACTGAACACAATTACAAGTCAGCCACATATTATGGATTATATTCTCATCCACCATCTAATGGAGGAAAAAATTGCTCCGATGCAACACCGACACCTGCTCTATATTATTACTTCTTATACGTCTTCCTCGAATGTACATATTCAAGGCAGTGATGAGCGTCTACACTGCCAGAATTCTACAAGAAGAAGAGGAACGTAGTGACGAAACATGCTCGGTAGCGCTGTTTGTCCGTTTTCAGCTAGTGTATAAACGAAGCGGCGCAACATGCCGATGTCCATGGAAGGGGGGACCCGCGGTTATGTAGATAGAAATGGCTCATTCTCAGGTAATAACATAACGGTTCATTCAGTTCGTTCACTGAAAACATAACAATAACAATTATAGATCTTACATTGTATTTCTGTCACTAGATCCTAAGAAATATTACACACTGAACCTTTACACCAGGACTCATCTGGCTTTTGTTTTTCTTTACAGATCCAGATAAACAAGACAAAAATGTTATTGTCCCAGTACTTGTTGCTTTCACCATAGTTCTCATAGCAGTTGTTGCAGCAGTTTGTTATCATCGAAAGAGACTAAAATGTAAGTTGAAGTGTGCATTTTAACATAGAAGTAAATCTGCCAAGTCCTATTTCTTTATTGTACATGGGAATTCAGCGTTCTAGAAAAGTTCCTCATCTGCCATAGCCACAAATCCCCCTTTGTGTTATTATGCAATGCAATTATAATAATTATAGAGCTATATCATATAATTAATATCTTCAAAATGGAGTAACATTGATAATCCACAACTGTGCATTATTTACAGTAGACAATGTTGTGTCAAATGTCTGTGTAACTTAAAGCCCCATATTTAGATTTGTTTATGTGCTTATTGCATCTGTCATCTCATTCACTGTAGAAAAACAACTGTCTTAGCATCCCAGGCCAGATCCCAGCGGGAAGGTAAGGGGGTATCTGCATGCATTGCTTTTTGCCAAGTACCTTTTTTATACAACCTCTAGGAGTCGCCAATATCACAAAATATGAAATCCTACACATAGAGGCTTTAAAGTGTGCTACTGTGTGAAGATTTAGACACACAAAACTTAATGTAGGTGCAGCTCAAGTAATGTGACTGTAAGGCAAGCGCAGGGATAGTTCAGGATTTTTGAAGTGGGGCTGTATGAGGTACTTATCCATAGTAAATGTATTACCTCCAGTAGATGGCGGTGTGTCCCCAGTTTGGAGAAGCAGAGAGTTGTAATGGCACAGAAGTTACACAGTGTACTGCTGTGGACAGGGTTAGCTGCAAAACACATTTTAGCCTCCTAAAAGAAGGCCCACAAAAACCCCAACATCAGTTAAAGTCAGCTCTTTTCAGCGATTTGCCTGGTGTCAGATGGCCATTTCCTTTGAAACGACTATTTCTCAACCGTAGAACTTGATTCCTTTGCAGTGTGTAAGTGCCACAGAAACTTGGCTGCATGCTGTATTACACTGCTAGAGAATCCTGAATTCTTCCTACAAATGTGATTATTTATATTACTGACCTGCAAATGAAAAAGAGAACATTGAAAATACAGTATAAATCACTCTCCCAAATTACAAAAAAAAACAAACTGAGGAACCCGAGCAGTTCAACAATCAGGGCCTTTGACTCTTTGCTACACCAACTTCTGAATGAGTCTGCTGTTCAAGGTTAGGGTTCCTCACTTCAGACCTGATGAACCTGATGAATTTCCAGATTCACCACTATGCATTTATCCAGACCTGTGCTGCATGTGTGTTGTTTGCTTGTTTTACTGTAGTTTTTACATCATTTAGAGAAAATGTGACACAAACATGAGAACAGTGTTCCAGTTTGCAAAACAGTAAATGTTCCTAAACTCTTCATACAATCATCCAAAATCACAAACTGGTCTCTAAAAAGAAAATATTGGATTTACATTAGGCCAGTTTTGTACTTTACTTTGTACATTTTATTATACAGTGAATATTGAGAATATGAGCAAAAGACTCTCAGGTGAAATCTGCACAGTGTCTGCACTTGTGTTAAATGTTTTTGCCGTGTAGGTGATAGTTGTGTTAACAGTAAGTACAGTAAAACTGTAGTTTTCCGTGTATTTTACTAAATGCAGTGTACTGTATGTGCTGTCAGAGGTGTAGATGTTTTCTTTATGTGCATGTGTTTAAGCTGCAGTGTGTTGTGCTCTTGTGACCAAGAAATTAGTTTGAAGCATTGACCTAAAGCGTTCTTTTAGACATAGTGCAACGACATAGTGCAACGACGTCCAATAACTGACTCTGCTCTACTCTGCAAATTTATTGTAAAGAACAATCATCACAAGTAGTAAATGATACATTAGTTTTTAGTTTTTAAGGACATAGATGACCTGCTGTTAGTTGTAGTGAGACTAATTCATGTGTTAATACTGCATAATAGCACAGTTGGAAATAAAATGAAAGTGAAAATAGCAAACAACCTCTGCTCGCAATTTATGTGTTTTATTTTCCAGGTTGAAGCTACAACTTACCCTCTGAATCAGATCCCGACAGATGATGCTTCAGGTGTTTCTCCAACCTCCACCTACTACTTGGTAGGGCCTCACACTGGACCTGTGGGATCACCTGAGAGAGGCAGGACTCTGCCAGAGAGCCTGTATGCTCAGCTAGAAAAAGCCAGAAACAACTAAAACAAATCAGGAATTGTATTCCTCATAATGTGGTGCCAGCAATTTACAGTTTGTATTTAAGTGTTGCCCAAACTGGCAACACAGCACGCATCCACCGCCACCATCACAGCTTGTACAGTTTGTATCGCAGTTGACATAGTGAGACCTGTGTGACCTTTGGTATGAAAACTGTGTAGATTTCACCACAGCAACCACATCTCCCTGTCTCATCAGTAATGTGTTAAAACCTTACATAAATCGCTGTAGTTTGTTAGCTAATGCTGAGAGATAACGTGTGTAGCTATGGGTCGTGTTTGTGCATGTGTGTCTTTCAGACCTGTTTGTATACTAACATACAACAACAGAGTGGGGATTAAATAAAGTATATCTTCTTCTTCTAATGAGCATGTAAGGTTAGGATGCCAGCTTGGGCCACACACCTCCACTACAGTATGTTGGGTTAGAGCAACGGCTGAAAACGGGTGTATACATTCAGGCCTGCCCACAGAAATGACTGGGCCCCTGACAAGGTCCAGTAAATGGGCCCTCTGCAAATTTGCTTTACTCATGTCACCGCATGCTGTGCTCTCTCTCTATCTCCTACATAAACACATACATGCACTTTTGATGTTTTGACGTTGCGTACAACAAACATTACTCATACCATGTTCAGGAGAGGGGGTTTCATTATGAAACAGACTATATTTTTCTAAAGCAACCTTTAAAAAATGTAATTTTTTGTTATTTTAATAAGTAATGGTGTGTTTTTTGGTACATATTTAAATTTGGTTATCTTAGCATGTATTAGAATGAACATCATTAGTGCTGGACTGCATGGGCCCCCCTAGCAGATGGGCCCCAGAATGCTTTCCCCTTTTTCCCACCTTATGGGGGGCCCTATATACATTTAGTCGATACTTAATGGTATCCATGTATCAGTGCATTTTACAGTGCAGTAGTAGCCAGAACATATTTGGAGGGATCAATGTATGTACTAAAATGACAGAGGAAAAATGTGTTTATTTTGGGCGTGGGATTATATTGTGTACATGTGTTATGAGCATTGAAAATTGTCTAGAAAGACATATGCAGAAAATATACAATGAATAGACTATGTAATTAAATCATTTTGGAGATTTCATCAGTGACTGACCATGTCTCCCTGTCTCATCATTCTTTCCTGTATTTCAGTTTATTGATGCTGCAGCTCCGGTACCTGCAACAATAGCACCGATTCCTTGCTGAAAAATTCCGGGGGAAATAGTCAGTGACACTTAATCTTTAGGCTTCTATTAATTCACAAAAATCACAAACAATAGAAGAATAGTATCTAGCTTTAATAAGTGTCGAATAATGGTGTATGTACCAGAAACTGCTTTGCTTAGGTCACCCAAAGATTAAAAGATGCTTGCCTTTTCTTATTTCACTGAAGTTGTTTCACCTTTTGATTTTCTACTTTTGTTTGTAAAACTGAAAACATTACAGAGATAATAACATGAGATAATATGCATTTAGAAGGTAAGTATTATACACATAACACATATGCACATAACTACACATGTACACAATTCCAAAGTATAAAGCAAGCACTGTATGAAAAACACAGCTCAAGTCACAAGGGCAATTGGTGAGTAACTGAAGAAAGGACTTGACTCTTCTGAGAACACGCTGACCCCTACCCACTAACATACACTTCCTGTGCTCCTCTTCCTCTATCTCCTTACAACTCAATCGTCATGATTGCACTATTTGTTAACTCTTATTGCTTCTGTGTGTAGGGCATAGCAGTTTGCAATTAGGTTTTTGTCATGCACGTGGTACAGTAAAACACACATAGATGAGTCATAACAACAACAGCACTTCCTTGTTCTACATCTCAAGTGACTAAACAAGGTTAGTCAGGATATGTGAGGAAACCACAGAGGTGATTTGGCATTATTATTATTTTTTAAGATAAAATCCTCCAAAACAATGGTCATCTCTGTCCAATCATTTTATTTCCAAAGTGAGCGCAGTGAGTATTGGGTATAATCAAAGAATAATCAGCATCAAGTACCCTGTGGAGTTTTTTCCCCCCAAAGTTTTCTTCCAAAATACATCATAAGAATCTTATAAACTATGCTAACATGTTGACTCCATTTTAAATCCGACATCGTTGACATCCATGTTTGCTGACTTGCAGTCTTCTACCTCCTGCAACATTTCTTGGTGTGTCCAACTGTCGATCGGTGGAAAAGCAGGATATCAGCAGCAGAATGTGTGCCATGACCCCTCTTGGATCTTGCATGCACAATACAAACAAAACAGGGCTACTAGGTAAACATCTCCACAGGGTACCGTTAACTAACGAGTGTGAGATATATGTAAAATTAGTTGGTAGAGAACAATTTGTTTATTTTTGCTTCTTGAGCTTCTCCATGATGTGAACACAGATGACGGCAGACACCATGATGATCAGACCGACAGAGAACACGACTGTCTTCACCAGGCACACAGAGATACCAGCAGAGAGACTCTCTGGATCTGGAACACGACAGAACAGGTTCTTGCATTACAAAACTGACACACCACACTGTGACACTACAAGGAGGGGTGGAAGTAACAGATCAGTTATTCCTCTTACTGTGTGTGGGTAGAATTTTGCAGGCTATTTTGTAGTACTGTACACTGTAAAGTGCGGCTGCGTTTTACAGACTGTCCGTATGCATTGTGCATTGAGGAACAGCATGATGATAGTTTTATGTTGATTCATGACATAGTTGTGAGCAAATACATGGCAAACTTGTAGCCTAGGAGACATGACAAGACCGTGATCCAGCAGAGACTGAACTGAACAGAAGGCAATTAATACAGGGATAACGAGCAAGGAGGGAACAAACTGGAAAGACACACACACACACGGGCAGGCAGGGTGATTAACAAGTGGGACAAATCAGGGTAACTCAGGAAGACAGGACACAAAGCATAATATGAAAGGCAGATGCAGACAACCATGACATAGAGAAGAGAACAGTGAAGAAAAAACACTGTTCACAGAAGTTTACAGTAAAAGAGGACATCTTGAGATGAGAAGTTTACACAGTAATTGGTTGCTCATGGTTGTATAAAAATGTCAGACCCACTAATATTCAGTTTATCATGTCATTTCTGTCAGCAGAGCAACTCCTTGAGAAATGCTAAAATCCTAAAGGCTACCCACCCCTGAAACACAAAGAAAATGCATGTATTTTGACCACATTTGTAACAAACTCAAATTATTTATCGTGTTGTCACTTACAGTTATTTATCTAATAATTTCTTTAACAGAGTTGCAATCCAAACTATGCATTATTGTCATGTTGTCATGTCAAATGTTCAGCCTTTTTAATGTCCTCGGTCCAGCTGACCTGGTTGCTATGGTTACAGATGATTGAGTCATTCAGCAGGTAGACATGTAGAGAAGCAGCAGAGGTTGTGACCTCTGATCGCTCTCCTCCCTCCTGACTGCAGGTTTGGTTGTCACATGTGAAAGTGCTGCTGATGTGAGAGTCCTGTGTTCTGCAGGTCACAGTGAGGTTACAGGAGTCTGAGCTGCTGGACACAGAGTCCACTGACAGTTCAACTGGAGACACTGGACCTGAGGAGGGAACGTTTGGGTGAAATGTTTTAGAAACATGGCAGCAGATTCTCTCTGTCAGTGTCTGAAATATTAACAAACCTACCTTGAACTGTGACGTTGTATTCAGCTAGTATTCGTTCTTCTTCAGACCCTGTCACTCGTGCAGTATAAACTCCACTGTCTGCCTCTTGTAGATTCTTTAATTTCAGTGAGTATTTTTTCATATCAGTCTCAATCCTTCCAGTGTAATTATTAGAGACTGTTGGTTCTTTATCAGGTAAATATGTTACTAAAACCTTTGTATTGAATCTCCATGAAAGAATAAAAAAGTTCTCAGGAACATCAGCTGTCATGACGTTCAGAAGAACATTCTTTCCTTTCTGCACAAACACAGGAGTCACAGCACTGGAGCCTGTAAAAAGAGTAGACACAAAATACAATAAAATCACACAGTTTTTTACTTTTTAGTCAGTACTAAATCTTACTTTATTTCTGTACTTCTGACATATTGGATCATCATTTAATGCAGCCTTCATATTTGACTCAGTTATTTGACCATCATAATGCAAAAAGGAAGCCATGAAGTACTCTCAGTTTAATGGAGCTTACTGAGGGTTTAGTTTGGTCTCTCCTGCTGACTTACTATTCAGTATGTTCAAAACAAAGCAACAAAGTGCTTTACCATTATTTTCACGTACTACAACTATGACAGCTACTACTACTACTATAGTACTACTACTAGGACTACTACTAATGATAATAGCTCTACACTCATGACTCCTCTGAAAAACATGGGAATTTCTTCAACCTTGTCTCCCACCACTCCCCCACCCACACTGTTGTTCAGCAGCTTTGGTACTTTGCTCCTTTGGTCCATGTGTCAAAGTGGCCCTGAGCCAAAGGCTGAAATTGTTCTCTTTGGAAGTGTAAATGAAGGGAAAAGTTTTGTTGTGTGCCAAATTAATGTAATGTAATGAACCAAAACAAATCAAAAGAATACACAGTAAAATAACGTTTACTTCAATATACTGGTGGCATTTAATATCTTTGATATGTCTGTCAGTATATTCTTCATGTGTGTTTTAGCTCACGTAAGTCATATCTGTATGTAGAGGCATTGATTTCTAACTCTCAAAAAAGGCTTTTGTTTGTTGCAGTTCTTTCTGAGAACCAGGCTATTTTAGATTGGAAAGGTGAATTCCTGTTGGCATTGATGTGAGATGATTCTCAACTAACATCACAAAAAGCTCACTGTGATGTCACCTTTACCACCTTTGACTTTAACTATTAATATTTTTGTTACATCTACATAAAGAAGTAGGGCATATTTACTGTAATGAATCACTTTACTCTGTTTACTCTTAGTTTCTTAGAAATCAGTTCCTCTTCTTATAAATGTGATTACTTGGTTTCAATGTTGACATATTTACACATACAAAGGAAGACTCACTAACAACCTAGTACATTCTATCAAATAGCATGTTTTACTAAAATATAATGTAAAATCTGTAGTAACTTTATGGTGCTCAGTTTATTTAGCTTTTAACCAGAACAAAGAAATATGACCACATTACTCCTATTTTAGCTTCATTACACTGGCTCCCAGTATGTTTTAGAATTGACTTTAAAATTCTATTGATCACTTTTAAAGCTCTTCATGGCCTCTCGCCTTGTTATATTTCTGACCTTTTAGTCCCATACGCACCAGCACGTACCTTGAGGTCCTCGGGCAGAGGTCTGTTGTCTGTTCCAGAGTCTCGACTGAAAACTAAAGGGGACAGAGCGTTTGCTGTCAGGGCCCCGAGGCTCTGGAACAGCCTGCCCGAGGAAATCAGGTCGGCTGAGTCAGTGAACTCTTTTAAGTCCCTTCTTAAAACATACTTTTATAGGAGAGCTTTTCCCGATCTTAATTGACTTTATTTTATCCCTTTTATTTTATTGTATTTTACTAATTTTATATATTTTTCATGCTCTTATCTTGTTTTTTTTTTTTTTGTATTATTCTTTACACTTGTTAAAGCACTTTGTAACTTGTTTTTGAAAAGTGGGATTATTATTATTATTATTATTATTTATTGATCACAATAAAGAAGCCTGCTCACATATCATTGCTGTATATATAACATTTTATATGACAGTGTTCTTCTCCTACCTCGTGTCTCTGTGCAGACCAGCAGTCCCAGGATCACAAAGATAGACATTTTAAAGTCTCCGTCCTGTCTGACTACTATAATGTGTGTTTCTGCTATAACAGACACACTTCAGGGTAACTCAGGAAGACAGGACACAAAGCATAATATGAAAGGCAGATGCAGACAACCATGACATAGAGAAGAGAACAGACGGGACACAGGACACTAAACACCAGGCACAGACTGCAGAATCAGACAGGAGACAGGCAGGACTAGAACAACCCATGGAACACAGACCCAAAACCAAAGAAACAACAAAACATGCAGCAAAACAATTCCAACGCACCAAACAAAGAACACAACAGACCAAACAGACAGACAGCGGACCAAAATCATCACTGTACGGGCTCCTTATCCATGACGATCCATAGTCAGTGTATTACCTGCAGTAGACGGTAGTGAGCGTGTCCACAGTTTGGAGAAGAAGAGCCCTGTAAGTTAAGCAACGTACTGCTGTGGACAGGGTCATCTCCAAATGGCTGTCTGACTGCAAGGTAAAGTGCTGAAAATATTCTAAAAATAAAAAAACACTTGAACTGATATTGATATTTTTTGGTGGGCCTTCTTTTAGGTGGCTAAAGTACGTTTGCACCTGACCCTGTCCACAGCAGTACGTTGCTTAGCTTCCATGCTGGTCCAAACCATGAACAATCTCACTGCCATCTACAGCACTACAGGTAATACACTGACTATGGATAAGGGCCTCATACAGCTCCACTTAAAAAATCTTGAACCATCCCATCAAGCATAATTGTCATTTAATGTACCTTTTAAATAACATTTCTGTACTGTCTAGTTGAGTTTGTATTGCAGTCTCCCCTGCAGCCTGACAGGGTGGTTTAATCATAATGTTCCAGTTTTGTTTTTAAATTAAAGAAATAGTTAAAACTGATTTGTTTGAAGTTCTTGTGTTTCCTGTCAGAAAAAACACTGTTCACAGAAGTTTACAGTAAAAGAGGACATCTTGAGATGAGATGTTAACACATTAATTGGTTGCTCATGGTTGTATAAAAATGTCAGACCCACTAATATTCAGTTTATCATGTCATTTCTGTCAGCAGAGCAACTCCTTGAGAAATGCTAAAATCTTAAAGGCTACCCACCCCTGAAACACAAAGAAAATGCATGTATTTTGACCACATTTGTAACAAACTCAAATTATTTATCGTGTTGTCACTTACAGTTATTTATCTAATAATTTCTTTAACAGAGTTGCAATCCAAACTATGCATTATTGTCAGCAAGTCATTTTGGCTGTCAGTCTTACCAGCATGTTGGGGGCAATAATGTTTGGTCTTCTTAATGTCCTCGGTCCAGCTGACCTGGTTGCTATGGTTACAGATGATTGAGTCATTCAGCAGGTAGACATGTAGAGAAGCAGCAGAGGTTGTGACCTCTGATCGCTCTCCTCCCTCCTGACTGCAGGTTTGGGTGTCACATGTGAAAGTGCTGCTGATGTTAGAGTCCTGTGTTCTGCAGGTCACAGTGAGGTTACAGGAGTCTGAGCTGCTGGACACAGAGTCCACTGACAGTTTAACTGGAGACACTGGACCTGAGGAGGGAACGTTTGGGTGAAATGTTTTAGAAACATGGCAGCAGATTCTCTCTGTCAGTGTCTGAAATGTTAACAAACCTACCTTGAACTGTGACGTTGTATTCAGCTACTATTCGTTCTTCTTCACCTGTCACTCGTGCAGTATAAACTCCACTGTCTGCCTCTTGGAGATTCTTCACTTTCACAGAGTATTTTTTCACATCAGTCTCAATCCTTCCAGTGTAGACAGGAGAGACTGTTGGTTCTTTATCAGGAAAAAATGTAACTAAAACATCCTTTTGATTGAATCTCCATGAAAGAATAAAAAAGTTCTCAGGAACATCAGCTGTCATGACGTTCAGAAGAACATCCTTTCCTTTCTGCACAAACACAGGAGTCACAGCACTGGAGCCTGTAAAAAGAGTAGACACAAAATACAATAAAATCACACAGTTTTTTACTTTTTAGTCAGTACTAAATCTGGATCATCATTTAATGCAGCCTTCATATTTGACTCAGTTATTTGACCATCATAATGCAAAAAAGGAAGCCATGAAGTACTCTCAGTTTAATGGAGCTTACTGAGGGTTTAGTTTGGTCTCTCCTGCTGACTTACTATTCAGTATGTTCAAAACAAAGCAACAAAGTGCTTTACCATTATTCTCATGTACTACAACTATGACAGCTACTACTACTACTATAGTACTACTACTAGGACTACTACTAATGATAATAGCTCTACACTCATGACTCCTCTGAAAAACATGGGAATTTCTTCAACCTTGTCTCCCACCACTCCCCCACCCACACTGTTGTTCAGCAGCTTTGGTACTTTGCTCCTTTGGTCCATGTGTCAAAGTGGCCCTGAGCCAAAGGCTGAAATTGTTCTCTTTGGAAGTGTAAATGAAGGGAAAAGTTTTGTTGTGTGCCAAATTAATGTAATGTAATGAACCAAAACAAATCAAAAGAATACACAGTAAAATAACGTTTACTTCAATATACTGGTGGCATTTAATATCTTTGATATGTCTGTCAGTATATTCTTCATGTGTGTTTTAGCTCACGTAAGTCATATCTGTATGTAGAGGCATTGATTTCTAACTCTCAAAAAAGGCTTTTGTTTGTTGCAGTTCTTTCTGAGAACCAGGGTATTTTAGATTGGAAAGGTGAATTCCTGTTGGCATTGATGTGAGATGATTCTCAACTAACATCACAAAAAGCTCACTGTGATGTCACCTTTACCACCTTTGACTTTAACTATTAATATTTGTTGTATATGTTACATCTACATAAAGAAGCAGGGCATATTTACTGTAATGAATCACTTTACCCTGTTTACTCTTAGTTTCTTAGAAATCAGTTCCTCTTCTTATAAATGTGATTACTTGGTTTCAATGTTGACATAGTTACACATACAAAGGAAGACTCACTAACAACCTAGTACATTCTATCAAATAGCATGTTTTACTAAAATATAATGTAAAATCTGTAGTAACTTTATGATGCTCAGTTTATTGATCACAATAAAGAAGCCTGCTCACATATCATTGCTGTATATATAACATTTTATATGACAGTGTTCTTCTCCTACCTCGTGTCTCTGTGCAGACCAGCAGTCCCAGGATCACAAAGATAGACATTTTAAAGTCTCCGTCCTGTCTGACTACTATAATGTGTGTGTTCTGCTATAACAGACACACTTCAGGGTTAAAGGCTTGTCACAGTTCTGTTTTTCCTGTCAAAACCACATGATCAAAAAAACTATTCAAACTTCCTCTTTAAGCTCTGACATGCTGCTCAAGATCTGTTGTTTGACAGACTCACATTATTTAATTGAACCCTTTTTTTAAGAAGCAGTTTTGAGTCTGTGGAAATATGATAAACAAGAACCCTATTATTTGTTTCAACAAATCCTGTAGGCTTCTTTGCAAAAACTTTAAATAGAAAGAGCACTATATTTGAGGAAAATAGTTTTGAATGTTGCACCACAGTTAACTTGAACATCTGGTATCTGGGACAAAAGTTATTTCAAAGCAAAACAACAAACAAACAGACTTACAGAATTACAAAATGCTATAGTTTGCACTGTGTAATTGTTGAATTAGATCCGACACATCATGGTGTCTCACTGCACTTTATATCCACTTCCTTGCGTTACACCAATGACATGTAACAAAATATCTGAATGCAGTTCACATGATCAGTTCAGAAATAAAAAATTGATGAATTTAGAGATAGTGACCTGTGCGGTAAACCAAAAAATCTTTCCTTCTCTCTCAAGACATGAGAACCTCCTGCTGTTGTATGCTACATCAACATTAGTTAGTTTTACTTCCTTGCCTTGACTTTACAAGAGTATTACACACCCTGAAACTGGGAAACCTGACTTAGGATAGTTTTGTTTTGATATTAAAGTAAGAGCCATAGTGATGTTATATTAGCATCATGCGTTGTGCATGATTGAGACACTGTTTGATTTCATACCCTGGGGGCTATGAATGTTTGCAAATCCTCTACTTCAGCTAGGGTTACTTTACATTTTCCTGCTCAGCTGCACTGAAGATCAGGTGGTGGTGCACTTGAAGCCCTACCTGGTCATGTCTCTCAGCTGCCCCACTGCACTGTGAACAGTTTTGTCTGCAAGATCCTATCACAAAGAAATGCCTTCTTCCTTTATAACAGAGGAATCAGTCGAGTCACATCTTTGTAAAGGCAAGAAACAATTATATATCTTTTTGTGAAATATTATATAAATAAATAAAAATTACTTCTTGCATTAAGGATGCCAGTTCAAATTCCAGTTTGGTAGGAATTAGTACCCAGGGGAAAATTTAGTAAACCTGTATTGTCTTGGACATCATCTCACATGTTTGTCTCACATGCCTCCTCTATTTCCCCTCATTAGACTGAAACACATCCAAGGTTTTTCTCCTCTACACTGGCACCATTACTACCATTTACGTTCAGGTTTAGGTTTTGATTTTACTGTTGTTACATTTAGCTACAAAGCATTATTTATGACCTTTATGAGATTATCCCTCTCAGGAATGTAGATCAAACACAATTTGGACAAGATATTGTCCCTGAAAATGAAATTGAAATACTTTTTTTGGAATCCAAATTGTCTACACGATATCAGTTAAATTCATATTTGCCTGTTTTATTCATCTGTAACCCTATTTTAATTGATGCCTGACGTAAAGCATAGTGGGGAAAAATAGTATCATGACATGGTTTTCTAGTTTCTTGTTTTTTGCACATCAGTGTTTACAGTGTGAAGAGGTTTTCTGTTGAGAATCCCAGCATGATTCATTTTATTCTGAGAAGTGAGTGAGAAGCCAAATCTTTCGAACAAACAATGACAGAGTTTTGCTTTGATGCATCATCTGCATTTTGATGACATACAAGTCACTGGTAATCTTTCCTAATCCTCAATCTGGAGACCTCAAACCCATGGAGCTGAAGAACAAATCTTTTTTTGCTTCACTCCAGGTTGGAATGCCAGCATCATGTCTTCCAACAGAATACCCAATGTTTGCATTTATCTTGCCAATTTACAGTGTTTCGCCACTCTCATGTTAATCTATCTGCTGTCTTTTCGTATTCACAGATGCTGAATGAGTTTAAGGAAGTGCTTTAAAGGACCAAACGCTGCCTGCTCATTTTAAAAGATCAGTGTTTGAGGCCAGAATCCTGGCCTGCCAAATCCTGGACAGATCAGTTCTCAGACATGCTGGTCTGTTTATAGCCTCATCAGATGCAGCTATGAACTCTTTGTGAAAGAAGCGGTTTTAGCGAAATTAACACTGAGAGGAATAATCTGCCAACAGTCTTCACTGATCAGCCAGGGATTTTTAGACCATGACTCAAATAATCCATCTTCAAATGGAGGAAGGATGCAACTTGGATCATGTTCTGAATACATTTGCATTATGAATTGCTGACAAAATGTGGACATCAAGTTCCACAAGAGAAAGATCACTACAGAGCCAGGAATCCTCATTGTTATCCACTTAATTTATTTATGCCAATTACAGTAGATATTTTAACAGTTTGATATTTTATTTTAGCTTGCAAACCTTTTCTTGATATGAAACTATAATTAATATGTTATAACATGTATAGAGACAGGTTGTAGCACAATTATAGTTTACTTGACTAGCATCAGCCAAATTAATTATTTCTGTTCATTAGCAATATGAAATATATTGTCCCGCAAAATTAGGTGTCTAGTGTCTGAGATCACAACAGGGTTTCATATTTGGATCATCAATTAAAAGCCGATCATTTTGATGTATGAGGCTTTCTGGGCGTATGTAGAAAGGTCAGTGTTAATTGGACTTGATGTATAGGAGTTGAAGTTTTTCAAAGTGTGAGTTTGACCTTTAACTATAGCAGCCCAGTGAGGTTATTTTCAGTGCTGAAAAGCGCTGTTCCTTAATGTTTACACAATCCGTCTAGTGGCTTTGCAACATAGACTGTATATAAAAAGCTTTGCACATACAATGCGGCAACGTCTGTCTGACCTATTTATGCTAATCTTTCATCATTTTATTGAGAGAGGAGGTTAAATTTTAAAATGACTTTCATGTACATGGATGCTTCAGTGCAAGACCATCGCAGATAAATGTATGTAATGACCTCAGCATTATGTAGATAATATTATAACAACATACACGTGTATGTAAAAGTTTAATAAGGTCATTTGAGTGAAATGAAATTGAGTTTTAACTTGTTGCTCTTTGTATGTCCTTTTTGCCTTCATTTATTCATATTAATGATTCAGAGCCAGGTGAGCCACCTTAGAGCTTAATGACTGAAGTGCAGAAATCTTTACAGAACCACAGTACTGGATTGCATCAATGGTAGATTACAAGCTGGGCAACTGCCAGGGGCTCCAGAACTCCAGGGGTCCCCAAAGATCAAGGCTTTCTGTGTATCAACTGTTTTAGTTAATTTAATTGAAGATTTGCACCATGAAAGCACATGAGGTGGGTCCTCTTTTACTACCTGATCTTGAGTCCTTGTGACACTAATCAGTGTACCTTATACAACCTTAATAGAAAACAAGGCCAGATTTCATGACCATCACCACTTCAGCTCTGTGCATACAAGTTGAATTTTACTAAATCAACAGCTATTTAAAGAAAGTGAACACATTGCAGAGTAGAAGAAACATGGGGTTAATAGGGACTTAAGAGCTCAATTTGCCTGGCCTTGCTTTTGTATTTTATGTTTTGGATCATTATCAAAGGATTCTGAATAAACAGTGCTAAAGGCTTCTCTCTTCGTCCTCATGGTCTCCCACAACATCCATTTTTTAATTACTTCAGCACCCACCCTCAAATGGCCTACATTTTGACACACTGATTTTTTATCTTTTTCTTATTGCAAAAATTTAAATTACATACTATAGATATTTTTCCAGCACTATGCATACATTGTTTTTTGGGGGTAGACCAATATGTTGGGTTGCATTAAGTCCTCCCTTGTAATGTGATTCAGCATTTGATCAAATATTTATTGTAAACTGCAGACTGCCCTCAAGCAAGGTTCTTTCCTTCCCCTTGGAGATTTTAAAGCTTAACTGTCTGCTGTTTTATGACTCTTGTAATTTTTTGATTAAGTATGTCATTTGATTGTTGGTTGTTTGTCCATATTTGTGTTTTCCTTGGACGCTATTTGCTTGTTTGGCTGAGTGTGAATGTTTATTGTTCTCATGTTTCTCTTGAAAACGAGATATTGATCTCAACTAGTAAAACAATTATGGAAATTATCAAAAATATTTTCTAAAATACTTTAAAGCTTGGACTATATATTTCATCATCATACTCAGACCTTTTCTTTACCTTGTCATCAGGCTCGGTTTGTAGAGTTTTTCTTTCATGGTCTAAATTCAGTTTTAGGGCATTAAAATGATTTTTTATTTGTGAAAATTATCAAATTAAAAGATATTGAAACACCAGCTGTCAACAACTTTCATCCAAAAATACTGTCATTGGCTTCAAGCTCCAAAAATGCATGTCAGTCAAACCCTGATTTGTAATCAAGTCATATCCAACATGTCTCTCTCTCTGTCTCTGTCCCTGACCCAACAGACCACGTCAGTACAGTTCCACCAAGGACATCTATTATGAGTCACATTATCCTCTTGTTCAGTAATAAATAATTGCCTACATCCTAATTTACATCCTTCCCTTCCTTTTCACTCATTGCTCAATACTGCTCTCCCACCACAAGATGGCGACAGCATCATACAAAAAAATCCCAGAACCCACTTGACGACTTCTCTGCCTTAGAGACACAAAGCCAGTGACATCATCTGCGGAGGGACAGAGGGTGTGCGAAGGACAAATGTCTTGAAATGCATTACATCATTCTCCACTAATATGATAATATATCTCAGGAACTGAGTGCGGTGCCAAGTATGAGAGGGGCCATAATCCATACAACGACCGCTTCAAATATGAACAAGGGGATAAAATGGAAGTGGTGGTGGTGGAGAAGGGGGGGGGTTCACTGGAGTCGGGAGTGCAGTGCTGAAGGTTATTCTAGACATTATTCCTCAATGAGAGCAGGAGGAGAAAAGAGACGATAATCACTATTACACACTAAGTAAAGATTAGGAAGGGAGGCTCTAATGCTCACTGTCTGTCATATGTCCTTGTCTTTCTTTTTCCTTCCACATCTATTATTTCCTTCTTGCTTTTGCTTTTTCTCCACTGTCATTTTCCCTGTCATTCAGAGGAGAGCAGAGGAGAGGAGGACTGAGGAAGGGAATGGTAAAAGAAGGAGTAAGAAGAAGTAATGAGACAAAGATGGGGGAGAAAAAAGTTGCAGAGAGGAGAGAAGAACTGGGAAATAGGAAAAGGGAGAAACAAAATTTGTACTGTAAATGAATGAGTGATGAGAAGAAGGATTAAGAGAGGAGAGGTGAGGAAATGGGAGGAAAAGGAGAAGAATGGAAAAAGAGAGGACAAAGAAGAGGACTATGAAGGAAAAGGGGAAAAAGAGGAGAAGGTTGGAGAGGTGGGAGTGGACCTGTCAGAAGGAGAATTGAAGAGCTACTGCAAAATCTGAAAAGGGGAGAGGTGAGAGAGTAAAGGATAAAATGGTGAAAGTAGAAGAGAGGAGGAAGAAGATACAGTGATGTGAGAAGGACTGATGAGAGAAAGTATCGTAGGGAGGTGAAAGGAGGTGAAAAGGGAGGAGAGGAAAGGCCAGGGAGAAGGTTTGATGAGTGAGAGAAGAACTGTAGAGGAGGTGAGATAGGATTTGAGACAAGAAGAAGAGAGAGGTGAAAGGAGGATTGAAGAAAGATGAAGATGAGAGATGAGAGGACAAGTGGAGAAGGATAGTAAGAAATAAAAAAAGAATGAGAGGATGAAGCAGAGAAGAGCAGAGATGAAGGTATAGGGAATGGAGAACTGAAGAGATTGAGGGAGGGAAAGAGGAAAGAACAGACTGTAGAAGAGGGGAGGAGATGAGAGAAGGGGAGAGTAAAGGATACATTGTGAGAGGGTGACAGAAAAGGAAAAGAGAGGAGGAGAAGGGAGAAGGTTGGAGATGTGAGAGATGGACTGAGAAGACAAGGCGAAACTGGAGGTAAGAAGAGAAAGAGAGAAGGAGAGGCGAACACATGTCTGAGGAAAAGAAATGCGAGGAGATGTGATGTGATAGGAGGACTGAAGAGAAGAAGTGACAGGAAAGGAGAGTAGAGGAGAAGAGAAGAAGGACAGACAGGGTAATGCAAAAAGAAATGGAGAGATAAGACAGCAGAGCAGAAGAGGAGAGGAGAGAAGAAATGGTGAAAGGAGGTTAGAGAAGAAGGAAGGAAAGGAAAAGGTTGGAGAGGTGAAAGAAGAGGTGAAAGGGTGACTGAGGAACATAAGCGAGAGGACGTTAGAGAGATGAGAGAAGGACTGACAAAATGTTTTGAGGAAAGACCAAAAAAAGAGGACTGGAGGACAAGAGGCTAGAGGAAGAGGGGAGAGGAGTACTAACGACAAGAGTAAAGAACGATGTTCAGAGGACATTAGGAGAATAAATGTGAAAAGGAGCGACAAGATGAGGAAAGATGAGAGGAGAGCCAAGTGGAAGCAGAGGACAACTGGAGTAAAGCAGAACATTAGAGGAACAGTAAAGAGATTATGCATAGAGGCAGAAAGAGAGAGAAAGAGGAGAGAAGGAGAAGAGTAGAGGAGAGAGGAGAACAGACCAGAAATGAGTTTTAAATGAGGGGACAGACTGAGACTCTGCAGACGTTTGTCTTGTTCAGGTAAACACTATTGCTACTGTTGCTATTCATAGACACACACTTACTCTCAACTTTAGCTGCTCGATGTGAGAAACTGTCACAACAACTGTTTGGGCGCACTCATTCATAGTCTGACCTAAATAAACAGCAGTATGTGTGAAACTTCATTCAAAGTAAAGACTTGAAACCATTTTAAAGCCACATCCTGGAGCCAAACTTAATAAAACAAACTTCTTGTAAAGTAGATTTCAGCATAATAAATATATACAAAATAAAGGAGCCGTTTCTGCTGTTCGTATGAAAGCTGTGTCTTCTTTTATTTTCTGCGATACTGTGGAAAAATAATTACATACAATTTGAAAAAAAAAAAAAAGACCGAAAACAGAAATCAAACAGAGAAACATGAAAAATAAAGGAACATTTTAATAATATCTTGTATGTTTTGTACAGTTTTTTTTCTTCAATAAAAGGGATACACAGGTACTCAAAGCCAACATGAATGTAATACACATGTGAACAATAGGGACAGAAATAAAGAATTGGAGTATGGAGAATATATGCTTATTTAAACACCCACGCTGTCGCTTTCTCTCCCGCATGCACACCTCCACTGCAAACATTTTCAAGTGCAATATGGAACCCTTCTGACTGTGCTGATCATTGTCTTCATATGCTTAATTATACAAAGCTGAACATCAATTAATCCTGTTCACTCGTGCAGCTGTTTCAGAGAGCAGACAGGCTCAGCAGCTGGATGAGGGACGAGCACACCAGCCGGGCTCCTTCCTCGTGTCCTAAGGCCACGCAATGTCTCCTTCACTCTTTCTTACCAGCCATCCTGCTTTATACTAGGGTTTGACTGATATGGATTCTAATTTAACACCTTTAAAATGTTAATAATGTTATTCCAAAAACAAATATGCAGCCTTCTTCACTGATTGGAAATGGCTTTAAAGCGTCAGTTGACATTAAAATGTAGATGAAATTCTGTTATGGTTTTCAGCTTTTTAAGGCAGTTTAAAGTTATAATCCGTCAGATTTTAGTCCTGGGTAATTTGTTGTCACTGTTGGTAACCGTAAGCGCATTTTGATAATAGGTTACAGTGGTACGTTCAAAATAAAACAGTCCCTCAGGGGTTACTTAAAAAAGCAACAAAATAAGAGCAGCTTGTGTTTCTCTTCACTATCCTGATAATCAGACAGAAATGAATTAAGATTTATTTCTGTAAATCGACTGCATTGATTTCACCCAAACTTGTTTCTTGTCTCTGTTTTTGATCAAAAGTAGCGAGCCTTCTGGCTAAAGCTGGCACAGGAAGATGACGTCAGTAGCCGTGTTTCCATCTAGTTATCATGTGAGTTTGAAGCGAACTTCTGAAATGTCGCAAAAAAAAAAAGAATATGCTAATTAGTGCATTTCCATCAAGTGGTTTGGAGTGAATAAACTACGTTACAGCGTAGTTTCGTCAGACGAAGGCGGTAACCGGAAACAAAATCAGTTGTTTATTCACATCTTGCTATGAGGCCTATGTTTATGGAACCACAACTACAGTCTTTAATCCTGCCTACCAAGCTCGGATTTGTATTTTCCAGCTTTCATGCACTAGGCATATTTGAATCACTGAAAAAAAAAACTGGGCAGCGATGATTCTTCACATTACATAGTTTAAATGAAGAAGACTGAAGAAGACTACAGTCATCTGAAACAGTAATGCTGAACTCATAACCCACTGTTGACTACAACATCAAGTGAAATGTGTATGTGCCCCTGCTTTTGTCTTTCCCTGTGAGTGGAATAGTATCAGAAATGTGTTTTGATATAATAAACATCTTAAGGATTATAACTTTAACAACAATTTAGAATAATACTGCCTTTTAATTAATCACATTTTCACAAAAATAATTGTTGAACTATTAAATGAATGAATTCAATCTGTAAATTAAATCATCTTTCATGTTATAAAGACTATTTATATGTAGCTGTGGTCAGGAGGAACCTCCATCATGCCAGCAGCTGACAACATTACTGGTTAATCTATCTGATCCTTGCCCAAAACAGTCAAACCCTAATTTCTACAGTCCAGTGGTCCCACCACATTTATAATGGCATGAAAACACACTGGTGTTACAGGCTGCCAACACACACACACACATGCATGTTAACAGATGGATACATACAGTACGTGTGCATGTATGGAGACACAAACAGATAGCGTACACATACACATATAAACACGATAAACACAAATGGCTGCTGCATTTGTTTGTCTGCTCAGTTCATTTTTTTGCACAGTCTTTTGGCACTCACTGAAGACTCCACAAAGTAAAAATGGACACCGAGCCACTTGAGTCAGTCTTGGCCAGGGATGGCGCAGCACAGCACAGCACAGCATGGAACAGAGCAGTTTGCTGTGGGTCTGGCCTGGTTCTAGCCTGGGTTGGCCTATTTGAAACAGGGTTTTGGCTATTTGTGGCCTGGCTGCGCAGTCATTTTGGCCAAAGACACACATGTCCTCACATTTGCTGGGTTGATTAATAAGAGCCGCCCATCCGATGCCTACAAAATAAAATAAAACACTGTATATAAAAGTTTAAACACACTTTTGACCACTCATTTCTTCCAAAGGTGATGTAACACCACAAAGTAATATCAAGAAAATTGATTTTCAAAGACGAAAATTTTAAGTAAATGAACACCGAGGATGATGTTATGAGCTCTTGAAGCTTTATATTCTCTAAAAAAAAAACACAACATACACACATTAATGCACGCTATACTGCTAAACCTACTCCATATGTTTTCATCTTGAAGAAAATTTGGAAGAAAGCTATGACAGAAAGGTTTGCTATGTTGTGATGGGTTTCCATTAAAAGGCAGGTTCACTCTCTAAATCTGGAAGCAGGTAGGTGGCTATAAATTTTACACAGGGGCGAGAGTAGAGAGTAAAGCGTATCAGTGCACCGCGGTGAGAGGTACGTATGGAAATAAGGGGGAAAGACATGAAATAACCACCTAGTGGAGTAAACACAGATTCCGCTCTATTTTTTCATTGCTGAACCAAATCTAAACATCTGTTTTGCATTTTTGGCATCTCTGGTGTCTTTTACATATTTATATTTCCCCAATGTCAACAGACTGTAAATAGTTAAGAGGTAATGACTAAGTACCTGAATGGCCGTGTATTTGTTGGCCTCAGTACCTCCTCAGTGTCAGATTTACTCATTCTACACAAGGTCATAATGACATTTCAAGTCCGATGCAAAATACTGCACAGCTACAACTCTGTAAAAAGGTTGTAAAGTGGTAATAGTATGCGGTACCAAGGCTGTGATAACCATATAAATTTAAAAGGGTGCTCCATCTGCCGTTCTTCTCTTTATAACTACTGAAATGGTTTATATAGTGACCTTGGAGCAACAAGGTTCCATCTGATATTCTAATCAGAAACGGCGTGGCTGTGGTTTCCTGTCTGAAAGTGTTTATTCAAAATAGGGGCAATAAATAAAACATTTAATGCCCCTTAGCACAAAATTACCATAATATACTGTATCTGTGAGGGGTTGATAGAGTGGCTGATAAGTATGAAGACTCAATGATTACCGCTAGAGGTGCTGAGTTTTCTGGTTTCACTTTGCGGCCTCTGGACTTTCGCAAAGCACCTCCTTATCTGCTATCATTTTTCATACTCAAAAATGTATGGTAGAGATACAGGTGGGGGGACTCATCGTTGCTTATTAAAGTCCCTCTTGTTACTCGTCTTTGACTATTCAGTAAAGTAAATGTGCCATTAAGGAAAGGTAAAAATAAATAAAATGTAAAAAGCAATTCTTGGTGGTTGCCACACAAGTTTACAAAAGTCATGTATTATTCAATGATCCTTACAATTTCAAGCTCAGTATGTAGGAAAGATTGATGCTGCCGCTATGGGGTCTAATCAACACATGATTGTCACTGTGGGAACATGATGGCAGACCGTAGCAGCTGTTTTTCACTGATCTTACTTAAGCATGACTAGCTGCTTTAGACAAGTGTTTTCGATGCAGTGTTCACACTACAAACAACACTATAAATAAGTGGCTGGAAGTCAAATCATTTCCTGTAGAGGTAAATCGCAGGAGAAATATCTCACATAGGTTGGCCAAAACCAAATTTGTTGTGCTGCCTGCTCATCAACAGCCAATCGATTGTCTGTGTTTGTTTCTCTAGAGATGTGAGTTTGTAACATACTAATATATGGGGAATAAAAAAATGGAGCAGTCAAATGTAGCCATGCAAAGCTTTCCCTTCTTTACACTTTCTTGTCAAATAAATGTCTTTAAACTGATACAGGGTCACAGTTGGTGTTGTCGGTAAGCTCCAAAATCATTTAGGAAACAAAACCTTTTTTTTTTTTTGATAAAATAAGGCTTCCTTTTTATAACGTCTTACTTAAAACATGGGACTTGTACAGTAGCTGTGTCCGTAGAGGTTTTAAACGCTCATCATTATGAACCTGTGCGGTTAAAGGCCAATCATACGTACCAAAGCTGACACAATATAATGGGAAAATCTCTGACATAAAATACCACCAAATTTCTGTTGCAGTGAACAAACCAATATACTTACATATAAATGTACATATGAGCTAGATAGAATCCTCTGTACCTTCGTTTTGATATGTTAGACTACACTGGAACCTTTCTCATTGCTTACAAAGTTCAAAGCACAGCTCAAAGTGAGCAGCCGCTTGTTCTCCATCCATCATTTTGAATGTCGTCGACAGTCAAAAAGGCAGTCCAGTCAGAAGACTGGAAGTCAAAGAAAGAGTTTCACACCAAATAGAGATATCCACCAAACTGATTCCCCTTGCTGGATATTTAAAATTTGGGAAAGAAGCTCTTAAAATTTTCTAATTGAAATCTGCAATATCCACTCTAAAAAAAACACCATCCATCGCCTCTTAAAGAAAGTCAAAGCATTTCCAAAAACGATCACGTCGCCACATACACATTAAAAAGTGAGTTTTACCCAAAACGCTGAACCTTTGGTCCACAACTCCTTATAAAAATACTATAAAATGTTTCTGAATGCCATTTTTTTATACGTTTCGGTATAAATATGGAAAAAAAATCTATTCTACTGTGCAAGTGAGAGAAACAAATACTTTTTGACACTTGAAGGTAGGGGAGGTATCTTTTTGTACAAATTGCAGAAATTCATTGAATGAAAAAGCACTCCCGCCACACCTTGTTTCACAAATACTGTATATACAGCATTGACCTCGAGTGAAATGTTCATGATGATAAAAAATAAGATGAGGAGGAGAATGAGCATTTAGAGACACTTGCTACCACTCCTTTCCTTTCCTCTCAAATGTAGCACATACAAAACCTTTGTCGTTGTTCAGAGCGTCTCATTGTCCACGCTTTACAAAAGAAGCCACACCTTAATATAATAGTTTGTGTGTTGGCACATAAGCATTGGCACCACTTTAAAAAGCTCTGTCCCACTTAAATCAAGGTAGATCTTGTAAGCAAAGGGCACTGGACAGGCTTTAGTCAGGAAAAGGGATCAAAAAGTGCCAGATATATTTATAGTCCAAGCTGCCTCGTTGTTGCAATACATTGAAACAAACAAGTCTTTACAGATCTGTGTGTATGTGTGGAGGGTTTTTTTGCGATATGTGAGAGTCAGAAAATGCAGGGAGGTTTGCTGTAGGTCACTGTACTGCATCACACTGTGTAGGTTTGTACAAGGAATTAACTTTAAAATAACCCAAATCTCCATTTGCACTTATTTACAGAGATGGGAGGAAAATGTGAGCAGGATGAGGATTGCAGGGGAAAAAAAGGTTCCTCTGCTCCTCCTGAAGCTCCTGCCGCTCTTTTTGTCTCTTTTCTCTTGATTGTGGTTCTCGCTTTGCTTTTGTTGGAGCATAAACACTGCACACAACAGAAGGTCTGCGCAAATGTGTGTGAATGTCACTTTGCATGTATTGCTGCTAACTGTATTAATATGCGATGCTGCTAACTGCTGTGCGTTGTTGGGGAGTTTTTTTTTTTTGGTTCAGAAAATGAACCAAAATCCATGCATTGGATGCTATGGAGAAAGAAAACAGATTTGTTTACGTCTTTTTTTTACATTTATGTATGACTTGTTTTACGTGTAAGAAGTACTGCTGTTGCAAAAATAAAGTCAAAGAGTGTGTATTTGTGTTTCTCAAACATGAGTCTGCATCCGCTGTGTGTGTCTTTGGGAATAGTCAGAGGGTGGAGACGAGTACGAGAAGCGAGTGGAGCTGCCATACTGCCCTAGCCCTGTTTCAGGACTTTGTTGTCCCAGTGCTGGTCCTGGCGCTGGCCCGGGACCTGGTCCTGGCCCAGTCCCTTGTCCTGTTGGATACATCTCATAGGCTGGTCCTTCCTCTATGGGCGGGGCAAAGCCCATGCGGTAGCTAGGATACTGGGAGGGGTATCCATAGTTGTCATAGGCCAGCTGGGTTGTGCTTTCCAGCAGGCCACAATCTCCGGGGTAATCTCCAGGTGATTGAAGAGCTGGATTGGGAGGCGCTTGCTGGCTCTGCGGCACCCTGGAGAAGGTATTGAACTGGGCGTAGGTGGCATGGGACATCCTGGAAGGCGGGCGGGGGTCGTAGCAGCCTGCTCTTGAGCCTGGCACGGCGCTGGGGGGAACAGCACCGCTGGGTGTAGCTGAGGGTCCGCTGGAAGTGGCACCGGCTGGTCCACTGTTTGGGTTCGGGGGGCGAAACTCTCCCTGGTAGTGGATGGCACGGGACTGGGGGCGCGCCTCATCATGGGTGGTGGCTCGGACGTTGTAGTAGCCATTGGTTGGATCCTGTGATCAGACGGGAGAGTCTTTCAGTCAGATTATTTGAACTGTATAGAAGAGGCAACACTGGGCTAAGTAAAGATACCTAAACATCTGGTCTGGTTAGCTTAGCACGATGCACGAAATGGAAGTTCTTTCACATTTGGGTGTACAATATCATTTACTGTAATACAGTCTCTCAACACATGTCTCCTATCATACTACGTACTTCTCATATTGTATGTACTGTATACTGTCAGTCCCAGTGCAGGCTGGTATGGTTGGTGATGTGGGTGCAGTTGGTGGTGTGCTGTTGTTCATGCTATGTCAAAAAATGTAATGGTGTGCGTGTGATGCAGCGCATACAATGTGTATGAACACGAGACATAGTGATACAGCTTCATTTTACCAGGATAAACACGGTTTCCAGTGCAAGGCGACACGAATCTCACCTGGGCAACAGCTAATTCTGGAATAAAAGTTCTATTTGGGTTTGAAGCAGTTTGGTTGCCTCCTTTAGTTTGTGAAAGTGAAAACTGAAACCCCACTGGAGATTTTAGCTCCGCTCCAGCTTAAAGAGATAGTTCTGGATTTTTGAAGTCGGGCTGCAGGAGGCACTTATTCATAGTTAGTGTATTACCTGCAGTAGATGGCGGTGAGTGTGTCCTCACTTTGGAGAGACAGAGAGATGTACCAGCACGGAAGCTAAGAAATGTACGTATTTTAGCCACCTAAAAGAAGGCCCACTGAAAAAAATCATTATCACTTCAAGCGTGCGCCATATTTAGAATATTTTCAGCTCTTTAACTTTCTTTCATACAGTAATTTCCTTTAGAACTAGATTTTCTCAACCATAGAAGTCAACATCCGTATTCCTAGGCATAAGCACAATTTGGCTGTGCTCAGTATAAAGGAAATAGATGTTTGGTAGCAAGGTAAAGTGCTGAAAATATTAAACACATAGCCTACACTTAAACTGATATTGATATTTCTCGGTGGGCCTTCTTTTAAGTGGCTAAAATACATATTGCATTTTTGTCAGCTTTAGCGGATTATGAGAAAAAGCGGTATTGTTATGAAAATAAGGCTTTTAACTCCTGAGGAAAAAGTGGTAATTACCGCTCCATGATGGATATGACCACAAAAATAATGACATATGATATGTCTGTGCACCATGCAGGGTATAATGTTCAAGATGCTGCAGAAAAAGTCCAATGTCAAAATGCTAAAATGTCTCCATGAGCGGGCGGCCAGCTCACCTTGAGCTCGTACTCCTCTCTGGTGTCGCTCTCGCTCCTGATGTCCTGCTTCAAGTCCATGTCGTCTTTGAACGGCTGAGTGGAGGGAGAGAGGGAAACAGAGGGCAGAAACTAAACCATCAAACAACGAAACACACACACGGAAAGAGGGAGGGTGAGAAAGGAAAGCAGAAGGAAGAGAGGGAGGGGAAAGGAAAACAGAGTTTCAGGTTTTTCATCCCAAGAGAGTGGAAGACGAGAAACGCTTAGCTGTTGGAAAAAAGCTTTTGGAACGAGCCTCGCCGATTGGATTCTCCAGGACTTCCAGGGCTGAACGCTTTTCTAAAAGGAACACAATGTGTGTGCGTGTGTGTCTTTGTGTGTGTCTGTGTTAATGTCTGTTATGTGTGTGTCTGTGTGTGCAAAGGCTTTCATGTGTGCAAATCTGTGTGCAATTTAGAGAGCACATGTGCACTATCAAATTAATTTGCATTGCGTGTGTTTGTGTGCGTGTGTGTTTTTGTGCATTCACAAGATCGTGTATCTGATCTTACAGTGTATCTGTGTATATGCGCTTTCCTGTTCGTCTCTTGTTTTTCTTCGTGTGTGTGTATGTACAGTACAGTACTTGATTTTGGGTTGAGTGTGTGTGTTTGCAGCCACGCTTGTGCACGTGCGTGTGCGTGTACGTGTATGTGTATGTGCCTGCCTCTCCTGCCATGTCGCCCTTTGTGTCGGTGTATCTGTATATTTAAGGCCATTGTCCCATACACCTCCTCTCCACAGCCCCCCAGTGACTCAGATGGGTGTCTACTCACAGAGTACATGGCCTTGACCATCCGGGTTGCCGTGGAGACGTCGGCCGCCTCCTCCTCCAGGCTGTGGGTCTCTTTGTTGACTGTCTCCACCTTGATGTCTGGTTTACCGAGGGTGACACCTCGGCGACCTGGAAGAAAAACACAACCTCTGGTCATATTCTGGGTCAATGTCAAGATACATTGATTTATTTCACAGTCTGTCTTAAAAAAGGAAAAAAAGCAACAACACTTTAATCTGTTCAGTGCTGTTCTTTTAACTTGTCTACACAATTTGCTTTGTTTCTTTTGTTTCTCTAAGTTCATAATGGCGCATTTAGCAATTCGGCAGGCTGGCAGCTTCAAAATGCAGAAAGAGGTGACAATGAATAGAATTCACCAGGAAACTGCACGTCCCTTTTGTACAAATGTCTCCTTAGAAAAGTTGAAAATAAAGATAAACAATTTGTAGCAGGTCTTTCTGTCGGAAGGATTGTTGATGATGCTTTTTTTTAATGCACGCTCTCAACTTGGACTGAAATTTGACGTAGTTTAAAGCCCCTTCTGTACTGATTGAGAGACTCCAAGCGGCGATTTGAAAAAGACACTGTGTGATTGTCTTATTTTTCTACAAACAAAAACTTACAGAACCTGAAAAAATTAGAGATTTTATAATTACATCTAAAAATCCACACTCTTTGTGTTGGTCTTTGTGTACAAGCTATTTTGTCTCAAATGCCATAATGAAATACTTAGAAGGTTTCAGTAATGTTCACTGTAGTTTTCTCTTACATTTTTTGTTTCGGCTCTGGTGAAATACTTGATGCAACAGAAAAAAATATTTAAAAAATATTTCCGTAACACTTCCATTGTGGCACGTTTGAATTGAGTGCTGTCACATTACATTAGGTTAGTTAGGTGGGATTGGACAGTGGTCTTTATCACAGCTAAAATTGGTTTGGGCCATAAATCTGTCACATTCCTATGAAAAACATTGCCTTGTGCACCCTGAAATGATAATACTACTCATTTTAATTGATATATCCCTAGCACTATCCCGAGTCAATATTTGTCAACATGAACAACTCGCTTCCAAATGCAGAAATCTTTAAAGTAAAGATTTTAATCTTTGAAGTCTTAAGCTGCATCATACAACAAATGAAAGAACAAATTTATCTGAGAGTTTGTTTGAGTTTCTACTTCCAAACGATATCTTCTCTGTAATGGTGTTATCAGCTCTGAACCAGAATACATACTCTTATCCCTGGAAAATCCCTCTGGGGACCCTGCCAGTCACCTTCATTGTCTTTCCCAATTCTTTATTTGCTATGTCACAGCTCAAAATTAAACAACTTAAAGACACCACATGTTCTTTGCTCTGGTTCGAGGAAATGTGGTTTGTGTTCATAAATGATAATTGGATTGCTCTAGGCTGTAGAAATAACATATAGGATTTCAGAATTTTAAATATTATTCCCCTTTAAATGCTGCTGTTTCTTGCTCTATTATATATGTACTCTATCTAGTGTACGAGTGGCAAAGAAATACAATTTATTATAATACAATTCCATGTCAGTAGAATGAAAAGGGAAACGTAGAGTAGGCGTTTTAAGGCAGTTTGCCATATTATATGAATATTCATTAATCTCATTTGAATAAAATGCTATACGTGTTCCGTGTGTTCCTTTCTTCAAATATGGAGAGGCAGAACGACAGATAGGGAGAGTGGCTAAAATAAAGAATGATAGACACAGGCAGTATGTGAGTGTGCATGGACCTACACACACACACAAATTAGAGGACCACCGTGTACACTCACTGCCTTTGCGTTGGCGGTACAGGAAGAAGGCGAGAGCCAGTAGAAACATAAGCAGCAGAATGGAGGAGCCCACCGTACCACCGGCGATAATTCCCACTGGAACAATATCTGAAACAAACACAAGCAGAAAAGGGTCGGGGTTGAGGGACAGCTGCTGCCTCATTGTTACAGAAAACTGCACGGATGTTGTGTCGTTGAAGCATAAATCCTGTTGTGTCCCACAGTAGCTTAATATTGGATCTCTGAGGGCTGGTTATGTTGATAAGCAAGTCCGACATGGGATAAAAATGCTGTTAGTGAACATGTGAGGACAAATCCACGCTCTCTCTCTCTCTCTCTCTCAAAGATGTTTTGGTAGATTTTCTAAAGCCTGCGGAAGCTGACAGCTGAAAGAATAAGAGCCAGATAAGACTGACTGAGCATGAAGAAATAATTTTCTCAATCTAATGTGACACACTAAGTTCTCAAAACAAAACGTGGAACCATCTTGAACGGACTTAAAACACTATCTCTCGTCTGTCCTCCTGCTGAGGCCAATGCGTGATAATCTGGCTCAAGGGCACTTCAGTTTGTAAGAGAGAGAAGGGCACCTTAATTTTAGTTAGTTTAGTTTCGTTTATTGACCTTTCAGCATTATCAGAGTTTCATAAAGACAATTGTCATTGAAAAACTGTCTTTATGAAACTCTGCTATAATAAACCGTCAATACAAAACAGACCACAATATTCAGACTAAGTTTCTGACCGAACCAAATTTGAAATGTGCAATTATCTAAGCTAAAAACGAATATCTCATATAATCTGCTGTCATGTACAAGTCTGCACATGCAGCGGCAGAGTAAAAAGCTAATCAGGGACATTGCAGATACACTTTTGTTTACAGTCTAAATACATTATGTCTATTCTTAAAGCTTAACAAAAGTGATGAATACATTTCCTTCCTTTAGCAAAGCCAATTTCGAAAATATATTCAGAAACCTGCATTGTTTACATCAATGTGAGCTGGCTCTTCCTGGCCTTTTGCTGTCATATTGCAGTAGAAGACTGTGTATTGTGTTGACCATGTGCTCGTGTGTGTACTTCAAGGTCTAACAAACAGGTTAACTGTGTTTCCTGCCTTTCAGAATATTTGCAAAGACTTTAATGTTTTAAAAACAGGCTTTTCTTTGCATGGGCGGGCTTCTTCTTCTCCTGACACAATGCTACCTTTTAAGGGTCTTTACTGCCACCAAATCGATATGCAGGTGTAACCATGGAGATGTATTAAGTGAGCTGACTGCCGTGTGGTGAGTCAGCCTTGCTTAAAATGTGTCCCACTAGCCAACAGCGGTACTGCAACAAACATCAGCATTTTCCTCATGGACTGCCATTATAAAAGTCTGTGAAACTGTTGAAAGCACAACCCAAAAGGCAAATAGACAATTATCAGTCTATGTATTATGAATTATTAAACCATGTAGATCTATGAGTGTAATCTTCCTCAGAGCCAAGAAAAGACTTTTTCATGTGCATGAAAACAATGCACAACAAAGCAAACCAGGAGAAGTTGCTCTGGGTGAGAAACTTCTATTAGAGTGGATGGGATCAATCTCGGAGTCCTGTGTCCAGTTCTCATAATACATCCATTCATAGAACGTAACATACAAACAATCCATGGACCCACCTATCAAAACATTGCTCAACAGCGTCATTAATGGTGAACAACTTCACATGGTACCTTTCATTTACAAAACCCTTAGGTACACTATGACAGGTTTTGTGGCTAATATCATTTGCAATAAACACTTTAAAGTTGTCAACTAATTTGCTACTTAAAGTGGAGCAACAACTGATGGCATGATGATGGTTAATGATACTACATAAGCAAGTGCTCAGCTGGACTTGATCTATCTTGACCTGCATTTATGGTGATAAACACTATAAAATGCACTCATTAACTGTGTAGCTAACGATGATTGTCATACTCAGCTGACACCCACAATCTCTCCCTTTCTTGTTTTTCCATACCCTTCTCCTCCAGGGTGATGATCATGGTGCCGGGTCCGAAGGAGTTCCAGGCGGTGCAGTTGTAGGGTGAGTGGAAGTCTGACTCCATGACATTATTTATGGTGAGGGTGGAGAGGACGGCCCCGCCCTGGGACGGAGGTTTACTCTGCTCCACAGTATACCTCTCCATCAGGGTGCCCTTCTCTTTCTCCCACACATTCTCCTTCCACGCCCAGACCTGAAACACACATTTTAGAAGCTTTAGCTAGTTTATAGATTCTTCCTGAATCAACAGCGGGTACTGGTCTAAGCAGTTGCTGAGTAAAACGTCACAGGGATGACAAACATGTTGTTTCGGTTACTTGACAAAAAAATAGAAAGGAGGATGGAACTATCCACCTATATTAAGTAGAGCTGCTCCACACTGTATGTATTTAGGTGTGTTAATCCCTAATGAGCCCCGGTGTAGTCTGAGATCCTCATACAGGGATCCAGGAATTTTCCCTCAACTCACCTGATTACCAAGAGTGGTCGGAACGCCCTGCCAAATATCTCAGGTTAACCAAATTGGTATCAACTTTTAAATCTCCAGCCAAAGTGTATTTGTAGTTTTTTCTTTTTTGTCTTTTATTAATTTCTTCTTTTTATCTATGTTTTACCTATACATTTAATGATAGATTTTTACAAGTTATAGCCTTGATATTCTTTTTGACATGCTGTTATGTTTTTTTTTATTATACTGTGATCTCTTTTGTGTGTTGTAAAGCCGTCTTTAAATGTGTTTAAAGGGGTATGAAAGTTTTGTCATTATTTTACCATTAAATCACATATATGTGATCAATGGTTACAGGCCACTAGTAGGCACTTTGCAGGCAAAACACGCTCTCAGTCTCACTCTGTGTGATCTGCCACTTAAAAAGGATTGAATTAAAATGGTAAAGCAGGTGTACGTCAATTTAGGATTAAGTTAAGATCAAAGTCTTGATACATCTGTACACTAACACACTTGTAAATCTATAAATCTGTTCATAATCAACACAGCAGTAAAAGTCCTTCAAGCCGATGGGAGCTCTGTATTAGTGTGATGAAAATCCAATATGTTTAATTTGTTAGATTTTTAACTCCACTCTTTACTGTTGCACTCACCCCCGCAGGGATCAATAATGCTAATTTCACTTTATCTTATCTTATGTTGTATTAACCACGATAGACTCACATACAGACACAAACACACACACACAAACACATAATCACAAGTAAACATTCAGCAAACAGATGGGCTGCTGTTGAGAAAGGTTAAGAGAGAGTAAAGCGAGTCTGGGCAGGAAATATATTTTAAGCAAAACAAATTATATTCTCACACCTTGGTATGGTACTATTTTTTCTCCTGGTGCAGTATATGCCTAATTAAAATGTGTGCAGCAACTTTTCAGGCTGGGAAAGAAATAAATTCCTCACAAATAAATCAGAACACACACACACACACATATACAGATTGCAGCAAGTGTACATGAGCGATAAAAGCTCAAGCAGGTGTTTCTACTTAAAACCAGCTGACACCAAAATTTGGAGGTATTAAATATGGAGCATGGTGATATCAAATATACATAGAGTCATATGTTGGGCTAATGTACCTTTTAACCTGGTTTGAAAAAAAATGAAAAAAGAGAATGTGATCAAGAGTGGATGAGGGAGAAATTTAAAAAAGCCTCAAATGGTCGGCTTACATAATGCGGCTTTTCTGTCCCCACAGTCGGCCTCTCAAAATCCCTCACTTTCTTTCTTTATCGCTTTTTCTCACAATAATGTAGTTGTGCGCCACCACTGTCTGTATTTCTGTCTCTATTTCTCAATTTCTCACTGCCTCTTTTACACACACAGACACACACACATACAGTATCATACTCCATATTTTATAAGTCCTTGTGTCTCTGTTTTAAGCCGAGACTATAATGTCGTATCACATTATACGCTCTGAGCTCTCTGCCAGTGCAGCAGAGGGCTGAAGCTTCCTAAAAGCTCTGATTTCTGTCATGTCGGCACTGCACAATTGGATAATTGACGCTGAAAGGTACAGAATTTTACTCTCCCTCCATCTCTCTCCCTCACATTTCAATCTGTTTCAGCTCGACACTCTCTCTCACTCATTCCAGCCTTCAAACTCAAATGCCATTACGGGATTTATTTCCATTTTCTGGCTTCTTTTTGCGATTTGTGACCATTCTGATATTTCCCTTTCTAAGGTTTATATCACATAATATACCACTCATTTTGTAATGTATATAATGCACAGACACTTTATATTAAACTGTAGTTGGATCAAGTTTTGCACTCAGCGACTTTAAGAAAAGGCAGCAGTGAAAAAACAGCATGCAATTACCGCACATTCAGGAGGATATTCCATTACAGTTTGCTGGTAAAGCAATCTGTGTGAACACTTTGCTATAAAGAAAAGATGGTTACCCCTTTTAAGGGATCACTGAATTGGAACGCTTTTGGCTGGTGGGGCCAACTGACACTAAAATCAAGATTGTATGGATGACCATAACTACGGTAATTAAATGTTACTACCTGGTCTTAAAGCCACCATAATAAGTGGTATTGTAAGGGATTATAGTAAATTTTGGTTTTATTCTTATAGCACTTTTTGTAGAAATTTTAGACAAAGGGGAAAATTTGTTAAGCATTCACAACGATAGATCAAAGGCTCAGAGGAGCACCTTTAATGCCTCATTAGGTGCAACTTGATATGAATTGTTAAGAGAGAAAAATCATTACTCACTGATACAGGATTTAAATCTTTCACACAAATCTCTTGAATAGCGGTTCACAGCCAGTGGGTGGGAATACACCAAGGGGTCAAAAACATCACGAGGGGATTACCAGGATAGTACAGCAGAAAAACATATTTCTGCTACACTACACTACACTATTTCTTACTTTTTTCTCCTTCTAATTTTTAATTTCTTTCATGTGAGTCACCGGACAATTTTACCTCTTTTGGCTTTTATATTTAATAAAAAAAAAACAATATGAGAAAAAAGAATTGGTCACAATCCACTGACCCAAGAAGTCTCAAGTAGACATAGCTTGTTATAAAGGCTCGTAAGTCAAAAAGGTTACGAAACACTGCTGACTGGCTTTGAAGGTCAGAAATGTGATTTTCTCCAGGGCAGAAAGTGAATATGACTTGGAAAGTTGACATGTGTTACAATAGTGATTCCCAACCAGGGGGACTTGTACCTCAGGGGGTGCCTGTAAATGTTGAAGCTGAGTCAGTTGTAACATTTGTACACCATGTGCCGTTAAAACTAATCAGTCACTAAGACCTGAGTGTCTTACAGGCTTGTAAAAGAAGAAAAAAAAGCCATGTCAGTATAACTAAAAAGGATGCTGGGTACGTCTTAAAATGAAGGTTGCAATGCTGTTAGCTAGAAGGCTATGTTTTTAGTACTGTCTGTTGGTCTGCAAACAAAGGAAATTCCAAAAACATGGGATTTGCTGCATCACAGATAAGTTGACCATATATTGGTGATTAATTGGATATGGGATCTCCAATATGACCATATATTTTTATTATTTCCATATTTCAAAAAATATCATTTAATGCACTCACCATAGACTATTAACCAGTTATAAAATACTTTAAAGAGGTGGTATTATGCTCATTTTCAGGTTCAAAATATTTAGGGGTTGTACCAGAACACGTTTACATGGTTTAATTTTCTAAAAACACCATTTTTTGTCATACTGCACATTGCTGCAGCTCCTCTTTTCACCCTGTGTTGAACGCTTCATTTTAGCTATAGAGTGATACATCTTGTCTCTAAATGATCTTTGTAGAGAGTTGCACATGCGTGGTTCCTAGTTAAGGACTAATAGCCAATCAGAAGCAAAGAAGGGCGGGTCAATGAGAAGCCGACTTCGGTTCAGCTGTACATGTTGCCGACCAGCTTAGCAACATGGACTGGAGCGAGAGTTTCAGACTGGTGAGTTATTAATCTGTAACAAATGTATCTTTCATCCATAAAGTTTTAACTGAGCTCTGTCTCTACATCACAGTAAACTTTATGTCCATTGACTGCCTGGAGCGTAGCTTGCGTTTGGAAGGGAGAGGAGAGCTGTGTGAGGCAGCTCAGTGTTTTTCCACTGGTGTTTAGTGTTATATGACGTGCATTTTGCTTTCATCCCTGTGATGTCACAGCCCTCCAACACTTTCTGCACTGGAACATGCATACAGCACTATGTGTCTCCTCTTTCATTTCAACCAAACACTACCGCAGCTGTTTTTGATGAGTCACACCTTCCACCACAGAGGAAGATCGTTCTCAACATACTCCTGACAGAGTTGGAGAACAAAGCCCCTTGTACCAATTGTTTAGCTAGAAACACAAACTGAAGGGAGGAAGTAAAAGCCATTTTTGTTTTCAGGGTGGACAAGGAGCTGTTGTGATCAGGATTCTATTTGAGGCAGATGCTATCTGAAAAGGTCAAGCACCTCTGCAGCAGATTACAACTTCCAAGGATGGACTTACAATCTTATCAGGTGGGGGGGTGCTCGCGATGTAACACTTGATCTCGCCTCTCTCTCCTCTGACCGCGTACTGGACTGGATCACTGGAGATGATGGGGGGGCCTGAGCCAGTGAGGCAGGACGAGAGAGAGAGATGGACAAGAGGATTACTATAACAGGTCTGAGAAGTACACAAGCATTAATTTTAACTTGCATCATATCAACAAGTCATTTCTACATTAACCCTTACTAGAAAAACCGTAACCAGGCATTCTTTATTGTCCTCAGTGGAGGACATTTGTTTTTACAGTCTGTACAAAGAGCACCTTCAACATGGATTCTACACACAAACTACATATAGTACACATATACAGACAATGTACACATACACATAACACAGGAGTGACATCATTAATATGTCTGTGAGTTTAACGCTCTTCTAGCTCAGGGTACAAAAGTTTTTCCAAAGCGTGCCTTTTTGTAGAACAGCTGTCTGTATCTACATCCAGATGGGAGAAGGGTGAAGCATGAGCTCAGAGGGTGGCTGGGATTTTGTGCTATGGTAATTGCTCTATGAGCAGTGGAAGTATTAATGAGGGCTGGCAGGTTGAAAGTGGGAAGACCTATTATGTTGGAGGAAGTGTTAGTGACCATCAGTGAGAAGATTTTACACATATTTGACAGTGTGATTGCCTGGTTCCAAACCTCTAAATCAATCCAGTCAATCAAGCCAATCAGAGCTTTGATTACATAGACGCCATCTTCATGACAGAGCTAGAATCCATTCAAAGAAAAAGGTGATAACCGTGGATGGAATCGACACAACCATACAGGTTGTTGTCAACTTCAATGAGGACATCTCCTTCTGTGATCGACTTGACAAAGTTGCTTCTAGCAACAGCTATGGCAGCTAAGTCAGCAGGTAAGTCAGTCACTCTGAAATGACTGGAACAAAATAGGACCTGGTCACACCAACCTTTATAATATGATTTAAAATATTATTAATATTAATATTATATATTAAAGGTGCCTTGGAGTGGAGTTTGACTTAGGTGAACATCGATGCTGGAATTCACGCCCTAAATCATCTTGCAATATTAACCGTGAAGGTGGATTTATTCTTCGGAGCTACACCTTAAGCTACGCTGCAGCTACCTCCTCAAAAATGTAACTAAATGATGGGATTATGGCAGCAGCAGAGATACCATGAAGAAGCTGAAGAAAGACTGCTGCTTTTCTGTAACATATCTAGCAAACACATCTCCACTGGAAACCTCCTCAATATTCTCGGCCATTTTAATGAGTGAAATAACTTTCATAACACATAACACACAATAACACAGCAATTGATCAGCAGTCGTCTCCTATTCAGTAATGGATCATGGCGAAATAAAAGTTACCTGGTGTTATATTCTGTATATATTTATTTATATGTATCATGAAGGACAGTAAACACAATTACTGTGGGGAATGTTATTCACACAACATGGCCTGATTGTGTACTATGTCTGACCCTGAACTATAAATCAAAATGTATGATGTAAGTATCTGCGACAGGACTGTGGTAAACCTCTTGTGTCAAGTTATGTATAAAGGCAGCTTGAGAACCCAAAAAGAGAGGAAGTGATCATATTACTGTTGTTACATCATCCATTAAAGGCTTCACCAAAGCATTGCATTATGGTTTGCAGTCAGTTGTGAGAAAGGAGTGGATGGTGCAAATACTTTCCTTTGAATCCTTTGAATTAACTGTGTTAACAAGGTGAAGGTAATGACAAGCTTATAAAACTTTCAGGAGCACATATTTTGTTAGGACGTGCCAATGAATGTTACTGTCTACCCTTTTGGTTTGACCGCGCACTTTGTCAGTAGGTGAAGATTTAAGGAGCATTTGCGAACTGCCTTTTTGTCATTGTGTTCTTGGTGAATCAGTTTTGATTTATTAAGTAATTGCCGGTCTCTCTGGCAGTGAGTTTTGACATTGAAATATTGGCTTTGGGCCTGTCTAGGTCTGAAAAATTAGCTGTTGGGTTTGTGTCAGGCTTGGGCTCGAATGAATAAGGCCGGGTCAGCAGAAATAGTAGGCCCAAGCTTCAGCTGTCAGAAAGATACAGACACATGCATGATGTATAGGATGATTCTAGATTAAACAAACACATCATGAAGGCCCATATGGTTTCACTATTCATCTTCTAAGTTTGACAGAGAAGCAGGGCTTTGCTGTGCGTAGGAAGATCTGTTCTACACATTTTAATTTAATATCAGCACTGTTATTAATAGCAGAGTAATTGGATAGTAACTGACCGTTGACAGTGAGTGTAACCTCAGTCTCTCCCACTCCAATCCGGGGCACAATGGCCTTGCAGACATATTGGCCTGCATCGGCCTGGCTCACTGACTTCAGATACAGCTGGTTGTTGTTGCTGAGCACCTGGACACATACACACAAGTAGGATAGTAGATTTGGGTGGAGACAGACAGATGAGGAGAGAGAGGGAGAGGGAGAGAGAGAAAGAGGGAGGGAGGGAGGGAGATCTATATTTAATTCATAAAACATGTTGATTTACTCAGCAGGCTCCATTAGTTTTTTTCCAGGAGCTTTTCTTAACTTGTTAGGCATGAATTAAAGATTCAAAATATGAAGTCACAGTCTCACTTCAAATCATCTGCTTAACAACTGAGCAAACATTTTTGAAGTCTAGGTCTTGGACATAAATATAGGTTGGATTTGGGGTTTTCTGGAGGATTTACCACAATATTGTTTTGTTCTGACTTTCTCTTTCTTCTTCTTTAAATTGAAATAAATGACATTTTAGTGAAACAAAAATGTAAACAGAAAGGTTAGGGTTTGCAGTCAAAGCTCAGGAGCAGGTTTGATGGTTTGTTCTCACCATGTTGGAGCCCTTCTTGGTCCAGGTGAGGGTGAGAGGGGGGTTGCCAGACCACTTGCAGTTCAGACTGACGTCAGAGTCCACATCTACCGTAACTGGCCTGGGCTCCACCACCAGTATTGGGCCAACTTAAAGAGCGTAAGATAATTGACAAATCCAGTACATAGACACATTTATATGAAATATAAACTTGGTGATCATCAAGTGGCTAAAAATCTATGAAAGAATGAATGAAACTGAAACAGAAAAGTGGAGACAGGAGTCTTACATATACATATTCATTCTTTACTTTACTCTGTTTATGTATAGGCTTTACCAAATGCCATATAGCTTTGTTGGATTTAATTGGACAGAATTGGGAGAACAGATTAAACAGAAACAGTCTGTTGCAGATTTATTCTGTGCAAAACATGCATACTGTGTAGCAACAAAATAAATGCAGGTGGCTCTTCAAACAAACACTTACAAATATAGCTACTAGAACACATGCATATTATCCCACTCAGCTCAGGAGTGCTACTCACAGTGCACGTCCACCAGGATGCTGACGTTGGTGTTTCCCACAGCGTTATAAACCTGACAGGACACGGGTTCGGTGAAGAAGGAGTGATCTGCTGTGGTGACAAACACACTTTCTCTGGCCCCCTCCAGCAGCACGCCACCTTTTGCCCACCTGACAGAGAAACACATCAGCATTTAACAAATCATTGTTATGCCAATTTGTCAGCAGAACATCTCAAAAGCACCATGGGTTTTTATCATTTTTGGGTGCTGACCCAAATGTTAAATTACTACAGTAGTAGACAATGGGTGTTTTTTTTTTATTATCAATTAAAAATTAATGTAGTTTTCAGCAGCCACTAGCGGTGTGTTTTTTACATTGCAACCTGGTGTGGCTAGTATGCATGCCCAAACTCATGAGCGAGCAAAGTCCGATACACATAGACTCACCGGGAGACAGCTTCACACAGCATGCCATAACCTCAGACAAACTACCACTGCAGTAATATTTTTATCAGCTTGAGGTAAACTTAATCCACACTCATTACATGATAAAGTTACATTTACTGCATTTAGCTGACGTGATACATCAGCGTTAGCTTGACTGTTCCTAGCTATTTGTGTTTCTTTCCCCAGAGGCTCAGCAATGTGAGCACAGCTAAATGTATTGGATGATAACGAAACGGTTAGTGAGCTAAACTGAATGTTATAAATTAGATTGTTGCCACACTTTATAACTGTAAGACTGCAGTAAGTAACATTACTGTAGTGGATGGGTCTTCCACTGTGTTGTTGGTCAGGTAAGTTTCAGCAACTGAGACGGGTGAAGATGCAGTGTAATGTAAAATAACAATAAATCTAAATTGAACGTGCTATGCTAATGATGCGTTAGCTGGCTTCACCTGCCTGCCTCACTATAAGCTAGTAAAAACAAATCACTCCACATTTGCTTTGTACCATCATCATTTCTTACAGGCTAAATCAACACTTTGACATAATAGTTATGGTACACAAGATAGTCATATGGGTTGCATTAGCTGGTGAAGTAATGTGAAAGTCCTCAAACTTTAGTATTTTGCACCAGATAATGTTAGCAAGTGCTCGCTATAAGCCGGCAAGCTAACAATATTTAACTATCTAACTAAAGAACAAAATCGCAATATATTTCATACGCTTTTCAGTAAGGTTAGTTTACCTTTCAAACAGGATGAATGCCAAATCTGTAACGGTTTTGTCGGTTACAAAACAAAGCGAGGTCTCTCCGTGACTCAAGCTTTTCGGATGCTGACTGTGTTTTCACCCAACATCGTTTTGATTCTAGTTTGGCCTGACAGGCTTCAGCATATTACATTTACATTTATTCATTTAGCTGACATAAAACTATATTGTTGTTTTTTATGTGGAGTTTGTGTTAGAGTTTATGTTGTGGTGGGAGCCGGTTGTTTTATGGTGTTAGTGGACTGCATTTTGTTAGCTGCGGTGTTGTAGCTGCAGTCGGCAAGAGGCTCAGGAGTACGCATGCAGAGAACCTAACCCCATTCCTAGAAGAGAGGCCTGTGGTTCATTTCTCTGTGAGATTACAGCCCATTGACAAAGAGGCAGTAAAAAAGTGATTTATTGTTAATTGATGTAATTGAAAAATAACATATAGCCCCTTTAAAGCTATCAAACTAGCATTTAAAAATACTTGATGTCAAAACCTGAGGGAATGATTGCAATATAAAAAAATAAATTTTTTTATTCATACTGGATCTTGCCAGATATCTAGCTCAAAATCATATAACCATATTGTACATCTGCCATTAGATGACATTCTAATCTACACTCAATAGGCTTAGTGCCTAAGTGCCTGGCAGTGCTCCCACAGCTGGGACCCTCTGGTGGACTCTCAAACCGCAGATTAAAACCACCATGTTTAAGTCCAGCATTTAGCAATTTCAATGCTTCAGTGCTGTCACAAAAGATAAAAGTCAGCGTTTAATTGTACAAATGTTCAATACTTTCACCAATTCTGTCCTGCAAGCAGAAATTACAATTCAGGATCACCCCTAGATGGTAGGCACAAGAAGATTGGAATAAATGAAAGAAAATCTATTGGCACTAAACAGAATTGCAGTGTGGCTCCTGATCTTGGACTGCGCATTTATCAAATGAAACACCATCCCTAAAAAACACTGACCACCATCATAAAGTCACATCCTAAACTGGATATTAAGTTGCAACAATGCTGTCAAAGTGAGCAATAACCTAATGTTTGTTAGATAGGTAGTACAGCATGTTTAGATATTAAAGTAAAAAGTGTACACTTTAATCCAAACCTGTAGCCCATTATGGGAGGGTTGGCAGTGGCCTGGCAGGTGAAGGTGACTCTCTCACCCTCCAGGACAGAGCGAGGCTCAATGGACAGGGTCACCATAGGAGGGTCTACAGAAGGAAATATACATATTCAATGCACAAGAGAGAAACTGAATGATTATGTGAATGAATGTTGTGCTGCACCAAGCAGCATAAGGATTGTTTATATTCTATACACAATACATTTCCCAATAAAATCTGGTGTTCCATAACCTCACTTCTCTACAGCCATCTGTACTAACAGCACTGGTTCTACATCTACTGTTACTGCTGCTGTTCTTCCAGTAATTACTAACTACATTGGGTTGGAAAAACACATCAATCTTCTTGATTGAAAATTCAAACTACAGTTTCCTTGTGAGCAATCATTCCTTTTTTCTTCAGGGACACAACTGAAATCCTTTTAAACGCAAAATGTTTCAGGTTTTCCAAATGTTGAAAAGAAATCAGCATGCTGAACTGCAGTAGGAGAAAATGACTGGCCCCAAAGATGGTGCCAAAATATTGCAAGTAGCTAAATCAAACCTGGAACCAGACCAAGTTTGAGATGAAAAATAGTGGCTATAAATTCATATACACAGCATATATGTCTTATGCTAATAATTACTTCAAGCTGACAAGTGCTGGCAGCTAATTAAAATAATAATGTGTTTTTGCATTGTCTATACACAAAGCTTGGCCCCAGTCATCTGAGCCCCACCTATGCACATTTACATTCTGACTAAGAAGAAGGGCAACCTACGGTGGACGTTGAGGGTAACAGTGGCTCGTTTGCCCATTGGCACCGCCGGGTTGCTGGCCACACAGGTGAAGTTGCTATTGCTGTCAGTGTCAGCTGGTGTGATGGGCAGGTAGCTCCTGGTCGTCACCCTCTTCCTGTCTGGTAGCACTTCCTGTTGATTGGGAAGAAATCAGGATTGAGTGGAGAATAGGGTTGTGGGTGGAAGAGGATGGGTAGAATTTATGGAGGGGTGCCAACAGAGAAAGATCAAAGGCGGAACATGGTGGATGGGGAAGGACAAAAAGGACAAAAAAGGAGCGAACGGGAATTATCATGGGAGAAATAAGAGAGAAGAAGGGGTGTAGAAAGAAGAGAGACACAGGAGGGTTACTAATGGAGCCAAGAGGGATAACGAAATAGCAAAAAAGGATATAGAAACAGCAATCTGGAGGTAAAAATGAAATAGCACTTTGAGACATGATGCAAGAAGGAAAAGAGAAGTTGGAAACTGAAAAGGTGCAAAGAGAATTTAAAGACAGTTTAAATAAGATATTTTCCTGTGTAAAAGTGTTCTTTATAATTAATGCAAGCAATTCAGTTTTATAATGACACTGGACTTTGCATTTAAAGTGAGAGTTGAATACTCATAGTGTTAAAATGTTTAAACAGTTATTTTGCTACTTTTCTCACGTTTATATCATTGTAGATTAAATATATTTTTGAACTTTGGTTAATTGGTCAGACAGGAGAAGCAATTTGAAGATGTCATCTTGGGCTTTCGGAATTTGGGATTTTTTATTAATTGGAAAATAATTGATAGATGAATCAATAATGAAAATAATTCTTAGTTGTAGCCATAAAACATAAGCTATAAATCTTTTTCTGCACAATACGTCCTTAAAATCCAGTTCTTTGGATTCTGTCAAAATATGTCAAGAAAGTCAGTGTCACATTTTTGTTAATATTTGATTATGTCTTTTCATGTGACAACACTGAAGAAATGACAGCTTGAATAATAGTGTAAATTTGCTGTCCTCTCAGAATAACACATCACACAGGGGATATCAGGAGATAAAGCGGGTTGCCCGTCAATCGGAAGGTTGGCGGTTCAATCCCTGTATACTGAACCCTGACTTGCCCCTGGTGGTTGTTCCGCCAGTGTATGAATGTGTGTGAATGTTAGTTTCTGTTTGAGCACTTAGGCTCAGTGTGTGGATGTAGTGTAAAAGCGCTTTGAGTGGTCGAAAAGACTAGAAAGGTGACTTATACGGAGCATTTACATTTACAGCCATTAATGTCCAATTAGCCATTTTCTCTCCCTGGTGTCATGTGACTCGTTAGTGTTACAAGGTCTCAGGTGCGAATGGGGAGCAAGTGTGTTCAGTTTGGTGTTATCGCTCTAACACTCTAACACACTCCCTCATACTGGTCACTGGAAGTTCAACATGGCACCTCATGGCTCTCTGAAAATAAGAATTGTTGCATAAAGATGGCCTAGGCTATAATAAGATTGCCAAGACCCTGAAATTGAGCTGCAGCATGGTGGCCAAGACCATACAGCGGTTCCACTCAGAACAGGCCTCGCCATGGTCGACCAAAGAAGTTGAGTACTCATTGTCATATCCAGAGGTTGACTTTGGGAAATGGACGTCTGAGTGCTGCCAGCACTACTGCAGAGGTTGAAGCGGTGGTGTTCAGCCTGTCAGTGCTCAGACCATACACTGCACACTGCATCAAACTGGTCTGCGTAGCTGTCGTCCCAGAAAGAAACCTCTTCTAAAGATGATGCACAACAGTTTGTTGAAGACTGTGAAGCTCTGGAACTCCATGCCCAAGAGGGTTTATGCAATGCTGAAAAATAATAGTGGCCAAACAAAATATTGACACTTTGGGCCCAATTTGGACATTTTCACTTAGTACTCACCAGTGGTTTAGACATTAATGGCTGTGTAATGTGTTATTTTGAGGGGACAGCAAATTTACACTATTATGCAAGCTGCACACTCACTACTTTACATTGTAGCAAAGTGTCATTTCTTCAGTGTTGTCACATGAAAAGATAAAATCAAATATCTACAAAAATGTGAGGGATGTGCTCACTTTTGTGAAATACTGTAAATGCATGCCCAGTAACATGGTAATGTAAGAGCAACATGTAGTATGCATGAGCATGTGTGGGGGGGCATAAAACTGTCTGCTTGAGATGTAAAAACATCTGTGTTTGGTGTGTGAGTCAGTGTTTGCTGCTGCTGCTTCTGTGTGCATATAAAACCACGAGTGTGCATATGTGAGTGTGTGTCTATGGGTAGGTGTGCGCGTGTGCTTGCAGGCATAATTTCATGTGTGCAAGAGAATATACAGGACCGAGAATAGTGTGAATGTGGGAGAAAAAAGTGTATCACTGAGTTTTATATGTTATAGTTTTTGTATGCACATCATCACATGTAGACAGACGCAAGGTTATTGAAAACACTAGGCATACTGGATTAGGTCAAGATTGAGCTGATGAAGGTCTGATTGATCTTCTGACATCAAGATCATTTATTTGATTTAAATAAATGTCTGGTTAAGAATTGTAGGCTTTTTGTAAATACTAAGTTTACTGAAATACTTCAACAATAAAAGTACATCTATCCCAAGTGGGATTCAAACTGATGACCAAATAAAAGTACAAGTTAAGCATGCAGGTATTATCAAGTTTCATTCCAAACCTCACTGTTTTTTTACTCAACTTTAAAAATATCTTAAATGCAGAGAAACACTATTCAACAAAACAAATTCTACTGAAATGTTAAACAGCGAATGAGTGAAACAAAATACTGCAACCCAAAAAATAAAACAATATGATAAATTAATGAAATCATAAAGGACAGTTGTGTCACTATGATGTCATGTTGTTTTTCTCATTGCACTTTTCCTTTAACATATGAGCATACTGTGTCTACATTGTTGACTGTGGCATTATTCTTTGGCTGAGTCTGGCAGGGGAAATTTTGGGTTGTCAAATTTCAGTTTAATGTGTCTCGTCTTTGTCAAAGTACGCAGTTGTGTCACTAAAGGTGATAATATGATACAGAAGTGCCAATATTTTATTTGCATTTTGTTTGCAAGTTGTGCCTTTCATCGAATAAAGTAGTTGAGGCTTTCTCAGAGTGAGAAGAGCTGATTTTAGTTACCGGTGATGCAATTTAGTGATGTTTGTGCTCTTTTATTGCCACTATTGAAAATAAATACTGTATTGATCAGACTCCAAACACTCTAAGTCTTCTGGCCTGAGGTGTACATACTGTTATTACCCTTTGCAGTGCCCACGGCAAAAAGTATATAAACAAACAGAGTGAGAGTGTCTGTTATTGAGGAGCAGATTGTAAGTTGATAAAAAAAAAAAAAAACTCTTTTAAAGCCACTAGTAGGCATGTCATTTTATTATCCAGATCTCATTTTAGTGCCATAAACTCGTCATGGTTTTATGTGTCGTATATTGCATTAATTTTACATGTGTGTTTGCTATCATCCGCATTTGTGCATGGGTGTATGTGAGTCACCGTAGACTGGTAGGCCCCCTCCACAGCGACTCCATCCTTGGTCCACTGGATGTGTGCTGCAGGCTTAGCCCCGCGGGTCACACAGGTCAGGTTGTATGGAGTTCCAGCCCTCAGGAGGAGCTCTGGGGATCCATCAACCACTGGGTCCTCAGGGGGAACTGGAGGAAACACACAAATCCATGCTTTCAAAAAGACATGTGCCCTCATGCATACAAACAAACCTATGCATACACATGCACAAAATACGGTCCAACGTGATTTTCAAATAGAAGAGCTTGACTGCCTTCAACCTAAGTGTTTTCTTCCACCTCTAATGCCACTAGAACCCATTCAAAATATATTACATTTCCTCAAGAAGCATTACCTTCATACTTAAAACACGGCTTAGTTCCTTAAAAGTTCACATTATAGTGGGTTGATCCAAATTGATCATGTACTCAACTCAAGGAAACCTGCTCCTCACAAGGACATAAGTATCAACATAAAAAAATGAAACAGGCCTTTCTTCAAACTTTATGTTTGTATAAGTTAAAAGAAAAAAAGCCAGTTCACTTACTGAGTACATTGAGTTTGGCCCTCCTGGAGCGCAGGGCGGCCTCTGTGGCCTGACACTCGTACAGAGAGTCATCAGACAGCTCAGAATTGGAGATCTCCAGGTTGTACTGGCCGATGTCCAGAGCCCGCAGCACACGATACCTGGGCCAGGCTGCAGGAGACACAGACCAGACTTACGGTTAAATAGCTGGAGAGACATCAAGTACTCATCGGAGTTTCCGTTTTAGTTCAAATGTAAGTCATGCATTTTTATTTGCAGGTCTAAAAAGTCTGACAAGTTTGGAAAATCAACTCAATTCAACATGACCCACTGTTTAAAAATGATTGCTGACATGAATAAAGAGGCACATTAGTCATGAGTCATCATAATAGCACTGCCTTCACAAATGATCAATGTCTGAGGATAATATCATCATCATCTTCAGGATAATCATCTTTATGTGTGAAATGTACTCATAATAGGATATGAAAAGAACTTATTTTAATTTTAAGGGGTAGTTCGCCTAAATGAATAATCCATTGAACACACTGTGACCAGTTTTCGATCAAAAGTAGTCCCTATGAAAATTGTTCTCATTGTCTGCAGTGGATTATCCAGAGTTACAGGGACACTTTTTCTGGAAAAAGATGTGCTTTAAAATGTTGTTTTTCAGTAGGGCCTACTGTGAGTTGCACAAACAAACTTACATTCACCTCCATTGTATTAGTGTCGCAGCAGAAAGCTCAGAGAAAGATATCTCACAACCTCTGCAAACAAAACCAAACAAACTAAGTGGACACATCCCACTAAAGGTCAGTGAGGAATGTATATTTTTTAGTAATTTTTGGTGAACTAACACTAAATTTCTCAAGCTGCATTTTTCCGTATAAGGAACATAAAAATATATATATAGGAAAATAAACAGAAAACATTTGAAAACAATCTCCTCGACATCTTTTATTCAACGTCAGTAACTATATTTCCTTGTCCTCTGTCGACACCTGACTTGTTTACAAGATAAAGCAAACGTAAAAGCTCTTATTAAGTGGATAAAAGCTACAATCACATTCACAATTACATCAATCACAGACAGAAAGCAAACAAATTGGACATGTATTTGTGTGAAAATGTCAATGCTATTTATCACACCGATTGCATTTAGCAATAATAGAATTCAATTCAGTTCAATTCAGAGTATTGAGGACCTTTCTGGATTACCCAGAGCCTCTGGAGATCATGATAGCATGTCCTTTAGACAAACAACACAGAGGAAGGTACACAGCAGCACGCACATCAACACGCACACAGCGATACAGTAACACAGTCAGAGATAAACAGCTGAAGGGCTTTTGCACAAACACTGATCAAACATGGTCACATACACAATGATGCCACATCATTTCCCACATGATACACAAACTGCAGAACTACAGGCAGTGCTGTTCCTATTACCCCCCCCCCCCCCCCTCTTTTCTCTGTGTTTGAACCTTCGCCTCAGACAAAGACATAATTGAGCATGACGTCCCACTAGGGGGCACTCATTGATCCTCTGTGCCCAAGCCTAACATGACATCATTGATTCACATGGCAAAGGCAGGCAGGCAGGCAGGCAGTTGGGGTGCAGAGAGTAGGGGGTGGGGGGGTTGCAGTGGGCAAAAGTATTAGTGGAGATTACATCATCCACTCCAGCACCTCGCAGCATAGCAACCACAGAGGTGAAAGCACCCCAGGGAGAAGGAGAAGGAGGAGGAGGAGGAGGAGGAGGAGGACGAACAATAAGCTGCCACCTCTGATGCCTGCTGGTAGTGAGAGCATATTAGGTACTTGGATTGATACTTGTAAACAGGATACACCCATATATACAGGTTACTATACACTGATCATATATTAAAAAGGATTTTCTTTCTTTATTATTTGTTTTATATTTACATGCACATCTATGTCAAGAAAACACTTTCTGTCGATGAATGAACGCAAATCTCCTGCGTGTGTGTGGGTGTGCAAACTGCAGGTATGAATTTAGTGCACAAGCTGCACTCCCACACTGTTATCAACAGCTGTATACAATCATGCACGGCACATAACAACCACGTCTTATACATCCTATTTCATGCACCAACAACAGCTTGTTAGATCCTTGTTAGATCAGAATAAAAATGTTGTTGATACAAATATTAACAACTTACAGTCTTTCCTCCAGACATGACATGACTTCATGTTCACAATGCCAACACTTGAAGCAAAAGATGGAGAGACAGTATGTCAGGGATGAATGGAGGAGTGGCAGCTCAGACAACTTAAGGATAAATAATGGACAGATGGTGATGATAGATGGTCGAAAAGCAGACAAAAAGAGACAAAGAGGACAACATGTTTATCAAACGCTGGTGTGTTTGTCACCGGAACCATGCTCGCAAAAGGCTACAAGGACAAAGAGAGCATTACCCGCAGAAAGAGAGAGGGAGGAGGAAGAGATGAGAGGAAGAGAGAAGAGAGGAGATGAGAGGAAGAGAAATGAAAAGCATCTGGGAAATACATAAAGCAAGTGATGATGGAGCTGCAGTTTGAAAGATGGACGAGCAGAAAACAAAAGAAGGGTGGGAGAGTCACGCTGACCTTCACTGAACCTGCCAATTAAACTAAATTGAACACAAGATTCACATCACGTGTCATATTATCATTTGTGTGTATGTGTCTGTGTTTAGTGTGTGTGGGCAGTGGACTGACTGGATGTGTATGTGATATGTTTGAGTGTCATACAGTACAGTATGTGTACTTCTTTGTGGATTCATTTAAAGTGAGATGAGAAATGTGATACGTGGTTTAGAGCTGAAAGGTCACAAAGTATGCGAGTGCTAATGTACTTACTGTTTATAATGTTTCATTCCGTGGAGGACATTATTAGTTTGTTTATTAAAGTAAAGATCTGTGACATTTTCATATATAAATAAAGGTTGTTTTTCCCCGCTCTATCACGAATGATTCTGTAATAGGGTTTCATGCAGGTAATGAAAGGTTTGTCTAGTGAGTTTTTCTTGAGAAAAAAAAAAGAATTAACAGCATTTTCAGTGGTATGTTTGGAATTAACAAAAGAAAAATAATGTATTTTGCATGACATCTGAGTTTCAATCCTTGTGGCGTCGACATCTAAGACAAGCTGTCATAGTCCTCACAGTTTGACTGACAGGTAAATGCAGAGGAGAAACACAACAGCATAGTAAAACATATAAGCAAAACAAGTTTTGTGTTATATGGCAACAAAAATAGGCATATTCCTTTTGTTTCAGAGTCATTTACAGACAAAAGAAATGACCAGTATGTTTGGTTCACTTAGACCCCAGAAAGGTGTTAAAAGATGTCCTCTGGACAAACTGTTAATACACTCCAACAACAGAAATCCAAACAGACTTATTTCGGATTTATGATGATTAATACTGTGCACAATGTACTGTCAACATCAGTCACAGATCTGTTTTATCTCTGACACCCCAAACAGAAGTAACCCATCATTTTTTGTAGGAGACTGCTGAACAGTGGGGGAAATAAACAAAATACATAAGTACTGATTATTACTGCTTGAGTAATTCTATTTTATGCTACTTTATACTTCTACTCCACTACATTTCACAGGCAAATACTGTACTACATTTATTGGACATGTTATAAGTTATTTTTTAGATTCTAAAAAATATAAATTATGATGTCATTAAAGTCATTAAAGGTACAAGCTGCAACATTAAAGTGATAACAATGATATTAAAGTGATAACAGTGGCGATATACCGTGTAATGTTATTCTGAAAAGTGACATACTGCATGATGAATACTTTTTGGCTTTTATGTACTTTGAATATAGTTTGATGCTAACACTTTTTGAATGCATGACTTTTACTTGTTTTTTGTAAAATGGGGGTGAGGTCAGAGGAGAAGGATTTTTGCTTTTCTTCACCTTCTTGGCCTCTTATTTTTGCACTTCTGAGTTTCCTCTAATCATTTCCTGAAGAAAAACACCTTTTCTTCATCTGTTGTGTCTTTGACTCACCTCCCTTTTGGTTGTCCACGATGCTTCCCCATTTCTGTAATGAAGTGCATTCTGTGTTGCACTCACAGAAAGTCATTCTGGATGTGCGTCGGCTTAAAATGTAAATGCGAATGTGTGTCTGCTTTTGTCAGCAGTGTGAGGGATTTTCTCTAATTCAGCATGATATACAGGACTCATTTTTGCCCAGTTTGTCACTCACACGCCTCTTGGCTCTTAACTCTCTCTCCCTCTGTGTTCAGTGTTCATTCCCCTAATGTTAAAAAAACCTCCACACTTTCCAGGCATAATAGCTTTTGTCAGGGTTCTTACAGTCAAAACTGAACCGAAGCCGTAGCTGAGTTATTCGCCTTCCTCACTTCACTTTGATCCCTGCAGCTCGGTGAAGCTGCAAGGTTTTTTTTCTCTCCCATTACAGAATTTCTCTCACCTCGGAGACCCTCTCCGATGCCGAGGGCCAGGCCGTCCTTGGTCCACTGGACGATGCCGCTGTAGTTGAAGACCACGCAGGACAACACCACCCGTTCTCCCAGTACCACCGACTGGTCCGCGGGCTCCTGGGAGAAGCGAATGCACCACACTGCAACAGAGGGACAGAGAGGGAAATCAATTTTAAGTTCCTTTCATTGTGACCTGGCCGTGAGCTGCCATCTTTTATTGCACTGTATCGAACTACAGTCCCTCTCCGGTCTTATCGACTTGTGCTTGTCCATACGGTGGCTGGTGGGGTGATTTGTTATGTGTCTTTATTGTGTATATGGTGTTTTTTATGGTCATTTTTTATCATGTGTTTTTATTGTGAGTGTGTTTTAATATAAACCCCGTCTGTGAGTGAAATTTCTCTTACGGGACAGTAAGGTTTTGAATTGAATTGCCTGCATTTATGTACATATGCCTTGGCTGGACACAGGATAATTCATAGTTATTTTATAAAATCATTCTAATAATTTCTCCTTTTAACTGGACCCAGAGCTCAGTTGCTCTAATTTGCATATGTGTCATTCCTCTGTGCTTTCTGCCTCTGTTTGGTCTCTTTCTTGCCCCCTTTTCAAGTTTTTCCCTGGACTTCACTGAGGCTTATGTGTGTCTCTGCGTGGGTATGTGTGAGTGAAAGTGTGTGTGTGCCTGCACGGATGTGTAAGTGCTCTTGTGTTGCAGGAACATCATTGCCAAGCTGTGATGTAGCCTGCTCTTTTTCATAACGCAGTACAAAGGATTGTGCTTACACACACACATTTCCTCCAGCAAAATAAGCCTTTTGGCCATTGCAGTGCTGCTAAAATACACAGATATAAAAACTACAAGTGTTGCGCCGGCATACATTAACGCACTCACATAACGAGAAAGTGTCAGGTGAGGAGGCGAGGCACTAGCCCGCTGCGTTTTCAGCTGTTTGCATCATCAGGTAAAATTGTTTCATATTCCGGGGAAAGTCTTGCAAGAAGGCGCGTTAATTAAGGCAGAGAAGGAGACTGTGGTGCCTTAGATGACACATGCACGTGCACGAGCACCCACAAAAACACACTGTATCTTGCACAAACAGAAACTCCTGCACACAAGCAACATTGAATCACACCCAATTTATGCACTGGTGCACACACACACACACACACACACACCTCACTGAGTCATTCACGTACATGCAATTGCACAGTGACTCACACAGCTGAGGATACATTCAGGCACACATACAATCTTACAGGCGTGCACACACACACATACACACACCCTTCCACAGAGTTGGTGTTTGTCTTCCCGTGGGCTATTCTGTTCTTGGATCATGGTTAAAACAATCCTATTAGCTAATTAAGGCAAAACTGGTTAATAAAGCAGGCCGTGGCTCTGAGGGACACGTCTCAGCGGGATTCAACCACAAAGGTGCAAACAACAGGGAGATTTACTGATTTGTCAGGAGGATTACACGACCTGTCATGTTATTTGTGCGGAAGGCGCCTTTATTGAAGACAGGAGTCTTCAGACTTCACAAGAAGCACTTTGATGTTTTATCAACTTTCCTTTTGAATACTGAATCAAGAAGACAACTGCTGTGACAGTGCTGCAGATTGTTGTGCTTTCTATTTGAAGTTAAAGGGAAAATCCGCCTCAAAACCCCTTAACTGTTGTGTAACATAAAGCAGATGATGTGATGTTGAAATATCATCTCCAATATGGATATAATGTAAAATATTTTTTCATCTGGCTCAAACATTTGCAATCTTTTGTCCTAGCTTCCAGGTTATAGAAAAGTCCTCCCCTGGTCGGTAAACTCTGATGAGCGTTTTAAATCTAATCTCAACCTCTTGGGATTAGATTTAAAACTGCTCTTGAATGCTCCGAATCCTTCGTACGGTTTTAAAAGCTGCCAATCTTCGATTTAGACATTTATTCTCATATATTTCGTTTACTATACTACACTGTGTACTACATAAAGTCAGTTTTACTGACTTGCTTTTGGTGTCAGCTCATCAAATTACATTAAGACCAATGGAATCTTATTAAAGCCATTACTTTGCTCTGATGTTTGAAGAGTCAAAAAGGACCAGTTTGATTCTGGATGCATTCCTCCTCATGTTTCCAGTCCCTCTCTACTGCAGAGTTTCAAATAAAGGCTCCAAAGTTAATGGTCACAGAAATACTCTTTAAACAAATAAGGAGTAATCTAATGACGAAGACACAGTAACGCACATTTTGCAACTCAAAAGAGACTCACCAGATCACGATGCAATGCAGTTTCAAGACATTTTTAGTGAATGATACTCTTACTTTGTCTCTACAAGAGAAACTCTCATCACTATCACACTCTTCATATACATGTGTAACCCACAGTCCAATACAAGTTACACAGGTACAACAAATGACACCTGGAATGCATCATCCAACAACACACAAACATACAGGGGCAGATGACGAGGTGTGTAGATGAAGAAAACTGTTTAATTGCTGACTTCTACTAGATTTTACCTCGAGAAAAATTTGATAAATTACATGATCAATGGCAGACAAATTCAAATGGGAAGATTCTCTACTTTAATATACATTGAGACTCTTATGTATATGAAGAATATCATGCATTTATTTTCTTAATTTATAACAAGTTGTACAACCATTATGGAAGTACCAAAATATACATGTTCAGGAAAAGCAGTCATGATTTTTCCAGAGAGGAACCAGCATCTTTCTCTCCTCTGTCTTCAGGAGTCAAAGACAAACAGATGAGCTGAGACAACTGAGAGACAACACAGTGAAAAGGGAAGCTGCTGCTGTTGTTTCCTATAGAGAAGAAGAAGGAGCTGCTGGGATGTGATATCCTGCTGACATGAGTGATTTACATGTGGGTCATGTTATGCATGATTTATGCAAAATTAACAGCTATTACGAGTAAGGGCCCTCATCTTCGTGTATAACTCTGTACGGAACAACACATTCCACACTCCTGGGACAGACTGCGGTGTGTTATTGTGCGTTATTGTGTGTGTGGGTGTGTTTGTGTGTGTGTGTGTGTGTGTTCACGTGTATGTGAGAGAGAGAGAGAGAGAGAGAGAGAGAGAGAGAGAGAGAGAAAGAAAAATAGTGACAGAAAGACAAAAAGAAGGAGACAGAGAACATTTCTGTTTGTGTGTCGTGATATTTGAATGTTCATAGATATGTGTATTTTTCTGTGTTTATGAGTGTGTGTGAGTATATATTACTGTGCATATGTGTATGTGCGAGTGTGTGTGTGTGTCGCCTGTCAGCCTGCAGCAGGGACTCAGATCGTGGAGCAGAGAGCCACACTGACAGAGAACAGAGATGTAATTAACCCTACGGGATACCCCCCCCAACACACACACACACACACACACACACACACACACACACACACACACACTCCTTCTCTGTCTCCTCTCCCATGTGCTCACCTACCCTCTCCTCCTTTCTCTCCTCCTTTCTTCCCTTCTCTCTATCTTTCTCCCTTCCCTCCTTAACTTTCCTTCTTTCCTTCCTATCTTGCTCTCTCTTTCCAGGTTCACCCACCTATCTGTCTCTCCTTGCCCCTCTTCCTTTGTCTCTCTTTTTCTCCTCTCTTCTTGTCTAACTTTGTCCTCTTGTTTTCTTTTTCTCTGTTTTCTTTCCTCATGTTTTTATCAACATAGCTAGTCACCATTTAATTATCTTTTACCAAAGAGAAACAATGAGATCCTTGTTTCTCTTTCTCTCTTCTCTCCTTTTCTATCTGTACTCATCTCTCTATCTCATCCTCTCTTCTTTCCAGCATATCTATTCCTCCCTCTTTAGTTAATCTCTCCGCATTTCTTTCTTCCTGTTTTTCTATCGTTCTAACTTGTTCCCAACACTGTCTCCTGTCGTCTCCTCCTCTCTCTGCTAGCGTTTCTGTGTGTCTTCCCAGCCTCCATCCTCCCCCTGCTATTTTCTTTCTCTTCATCCTTATCGCCCTGCATCATTACCCTGAGGGATGATATTAGGTATATCTTCTTTTCCTCTCTCTCCCTCTCATTGCATAATGACCCAATGGTACAATCGACAGAGCTTCACAATAACAGCCTCAGTGTCCAAACATATTATCCTTAATTGCTTTTAAATCTTTTATTCACTTTGTCCTCTTTTTTTCCATCAGACCGAGCTTTACAGTAATAAACATCTCTACACGTACTATCTAACTAGACCTTTTATGAATTTATGCAGTTAACATTTAAGCATAAAGTGCACACATACACTATTTATTTATTCCATTATACATGAACTGAAATATTACTGTAAGTTTCAGTGGAAAACATTGACTCTCTTGGAAGAGATGAGCTGTACTAGAAAGTGCGGGTTGAATCCTGGGTGACTAGCAAAGCTTAACAGTGAACAAGATTTTGACTGACATTAAAGTCATAAGTCTTGATCAGACTTGTAACAGTGTAATCTAGGACATGGGTTTAGTCGTACATTCATGCAGGCAATATGTAGCAGCTGCGTTTCATTGTGTTGCATCATTTTATGCAGGTAGGACACCATGGACTCTGCATACAGATGAAACCAAACTACGAAATATATTGTTTGCAAATCATCTAGTCTGAGTTGTTTTGAGTATGGGTTGGACTTTCTAGTGCTGTCTATGCAAGACCTGATTCAAGTCAATTTCACTTTGCTTGTCTTAGTTACGTTTTAGTCTTTTGGCTTGCATGTCGTTGTATTCTCAACTGTATCTTGGGGCAAAATATCTAATATAAATCTTTATCATTTGTTCGGATTAGTTGATTTTTTTTTAAACCTGTCACATTCTATTAATAATAGATAACAATAGTGCTTCAGATGGGTTACATCCTAAATTCCAAATTTTGTCCCAATCCATATAGTAGATGTGGAGATATTTTAGTGGAAACATAATGAGGAATTATTGTGAATTAACGTATCTGGCAAGTCGCAAAAATATCAGATATACGCAATATCTGCATGGTGACTACAGCGTTGTTTAACTTTTTATGGCTATGTTCAGGCACTCACAGTTCTTGCTTAATGTTGCTGAGAGATCATGTTCTTGGTTTAATACAGAAAAAATATTTAACCATAACCACTAATTTCTGTAACCTTAAC